GGTGTGAGGACTGTGGAACAGAGTGCCCAAATTCTCGTTCAAGGCAAGGCCACTGTCATCCCCCTGCTCTCCCTTTCCTGCAGATCTGGGCCCTGGATCACAGCAAGCAGTCTACTCAGGCATTTGTGCTAGCTATTGCCTTCTCTGTCTCATATGTGGACAAACATATACTCCAGGAGGATTTGCTCTATGATTTTTCCACAGACCAAAGTGATATTGTCAACAAGGCAGCTCCCTCACTCATCCTTTTGGTCTTTTTTTGAAGCTGATGTGCTTTCTCCCCTCATCTCTGCCAAATTTGAAAGAGCAGTTCTGAAAGTCCATATCTGTGATCACCCTTGGATGCAGCCTGTTGGGTGGGTTCCATGGGTTCTTACTGGTTGAGTTCACTGAAAAAATACTGACTTGTTTCTAGTTTCTTTCTAGTAGTTTTCCAAACTGTTTCATTAAGTATGGAGAGCCTGGGAGATTTTTTAGGTGAAGGTTGAGGTAAAGGAAGCATTGAGCATCAGTCTTATTTGTGTCTGCTGTGACTAAACCACCCACCCTATTCAGCAGTAGGTTGTTGTTCAGCCTCTTACTACCAACGTAGTGCTAGAAGCTCTTATCATACTCAATTTTCTTTGCAATTCTCAACTCCACTTGAACTTTGACTTTCCTGACACTACCACTACATTCCTGGGCAATGTTTATAAATTCTTTCTTTGTAGCTTGCCTCCCATACGTTGCCTTTTTGCAGCTTTGTCCCAAGGTCTCCGCTTAACCAAGGCAGTGTTTTTCTCAAGTACTGGGATGGGCTGCATTTGTGCTTGGAGGATGCTGTCCTGGAGGCTTACCTCCTTTCTTGAGTTCTTCTAGCCTTTGTAGTTGGGATCCCTTACACCTACCAGATCCCTGTAAAAGGTGAGGTCTTGCTTTGTCTGAATCCTGGTACTCTCCTTCCTTGCTCCCTTTAGCATCCTGAACACTACTATTTTATGGTCACTAGATTATCATCACATCCTCAGTCAACTCTTCCTTGTCAGCCAACAGCAGATCCAGCTGCGTGTTACCCCTTGTTGGCCTGGGAAGCTGAAGTTGTCTGTGAGAGAAAGCTGGGATCTGTGATCTGGAGATGTCCCTCAGGAGCTGCTGCCTCCTTGGCACACTGTCTCAGCTTCAACTCCAGGGATTTACTGGGTCGTCATCAATGTCCTTGTGCTTTAAGTCCTGTGCTGGATTTTTCACTGAATGTGATTCTTTACTTACACAGTTCAGCATCACAGTACCTAGAATCAAGGAATTCCAGAGCAAAGTGCATTTTTGTTATACTGCTGGAAAGCAATGAGCTCTGGCTGGCTCTGAACCAGGGTGCTGTCTGCACACTTCAGTAGGTTGGGGTCACAGGGTCATAGGGGCTGAAAGAGACCTCAAGATCATCGAGTCCAATCACCTGCTAAACAGTACCTACAAGAGGTCACACAAGTAGGCATCCAGACGGGTCCTGAATTTCTTCATAGAAGGAGACTCCACAACCTCTCTGGGCAACCTCTGCCAGTGCTCTATCACCCTTACTGTAAAAATACTACTTCTGCTTGTTAGTACGGAACTTCCTTTGTACAAGTTTTAGGCCATTGCTCTTTGTCCTATTGCTACATACCACCGAGAAGAGCCTGGCCTCATCCATTTACTTCCCACCTCCCTTCAGATGTTTAGAAACATTTATCAGATTCCCTGGTAAGAAGAGCTGTATTGCTCTTCTTGTGGGCTGTCCTGCAACAGAGGTGGCAGACATGAGGAGAGGTGAGGAGTGCCCCAAGTCCATGCTGTGCTCTCCAGCACCCAGTCGGGTGCAAACTCTGCACATTCCCCAAAGAACTTTGGAGCACTATTGATGTCTGGATAAGAAATGGTGGAGGAAGCCGACAATACAGGGAGGTGAGAGAGAGATGCTGTGGGGTAACAACAGAAAGGTACCAGTCAGAGAATTCATGCAGTCACAAGAGGTAGATAGAGCTGAGGTATGCTGCAGGACATAGGAGAAGTATAATAGCCTGTTACAGACTGGACCTGGCCGTGGCTATCATGGTGTGCAGTGCTGGGAGACACTGCATGCAGACAGGGCTTGTGCTAGAGCTCTGTTCCCAGGCAGCCACTGCTTCCGGAGGCAATGCAACAGGGTGGTGAGGCCAACTGCCAAGCACACATGAATGGGGAATGTCTCTGAGTATGCCTTGGCTCTACACCCAAGTAGATGCCGGCCTCTGATGCCAGACTGCTTTGAGGCATTCCTGCAGGGAGATAGCTCCAGGTACCAGAGAGCATCCAGGCAGATAGTATTATGCTGTGTAATAGTGAGAGCTCATCTGCTTCTCCCCTGTTCCCAAAACCCCATTCAGCCCCTGTGGCAGAAAGCTGGAGCTCAGATAACTTCCTCTGTCCTGAACTGTCTTAGGACAGAGAATGTCAGAAGATGGGGAAAGTTGGGCTGTTCTGGAAATACCAGCATCCTTGGCCAAAGAAGCCTACAGGAAACAATGTACTGTGCTGTAGAGCTTCTCACTGTACAGTATTTTAAAGCAGCTGACATGCATTTTAGAGTATTTTGGGAGTGATAAGCAGTTCATTTTGAAGAAAAGATCTTACTAATTTACCTCACAGTGCCCATCCCAGCCATCATAGCAGCTTAACCATTTCAGCTGTATTTCCATCTGCAGTGGCTTTGAATGCTCCCAGTTAAACCCTATTATGACACACAGCTGGAATGCAGTGAAACGGGGCAGTTCCCCCATAGTGATATTCAGCATGGAGCCAGAGTACAGGTAATTCAAATAAATGTTTCAGCAATGGGAGAGGTCAGATTTATACTCTCAGATGAGCAACCGCGGCTGCTGCTAACTGTCCTTATCTTTAGATCCCTGACTTAACACCCTCCTCTTGATCCCTGACAGCCTTAGTTTGATGTTTGGGTCTCTAGATGGATTCTGATCTGAATGACACAGGTTAATAGTCATCCCATCCAGATTCATGCTGCACTTCACCTGTGGCCCTCTGAACCAGATACTCAGCCGCTGCTGTACATAGTGACCATATGCACTCAGTGGCTTCAGCCCAGTCTGCCCCGCAACCCTCCGCAGACAGCCAGGCCCTGCTCTGAACTCCCTGTGCCAGAGCTTCATGGTAGAATCATCACAGAATGGGTTGGGTTGGAAGGGACCTCAAAGATCATCTAGTTCCAACCCCCTACTTTTGACAGGGTTACCAATCATTAGATCAGACTGCCCAGAAACCCATCAAGCCTGGCTTTGAACACCTCCAAGTATCTCTAACCAGTGCTACTGGTGCTGCATTGGAGGGAGCTGGAAATGGGAGAAGAAAGAAAAACAGAGAGGGAGGCAGTGGGGTCAGAGTTCCCCAGAGTGTGTTCTGGACAGGCTGCTGTCACGGCACCTGAGGCTCTGAGTGCTCTGCAGCTGGAGCAGAAAGGAGAAAGGAGGAATCCTGTTCCCTCGTCCATCTTCCAGCAGTGCCATAGGGCTGAGGAGCAGATCCATTCCCTCTGTGAGGAGCACAGTGTTCACTGCGCTCTCAGCTTCCCCCCCTCCCCTGCAGGGGAGCCCAGGCCTCCAGGCAGGACAGGCGGGGGTGCTGCAGGTGCTGACTTCCCTTCCGGGGGGCTGTGGGTGCTGGGCTGGAGAGCTGGCAAGGGGCTCCCCCAGCTGCTGCCTCTGCTCCCAGGGGCAGGAACATGAGGTCTGATGGAGGGGAGGTGTCTCCTCCGCCTGCTTCATTTTGTGTCCCTGGCCCAGCAGCCTCTGTGCTCTCCGGTTGTTCCTCCATCTCCGAGGATGTGGTAGTGGCTCAGGTTGGGGGCCCTGCCCGTAGGAAGGAACTGTTTGCAGCCCCCAGCTGGGCCCTTTCCTTGGCGCGTGTGCAACGTTCCTGCGCTTCTTGCTCACGGGAGCCGAGGCCCCAGCGCTGCTGCTGGGAGGAGCTGTGGCTGACGAGGCCTGAACTCCACTTCACCCGGGCCTGGCCCAGCTGCCTCCCTCCTGGCTTCGTGCTCCAGCTTTGTTCTCCACTCAGAGCTCCCAGCTGGTGGATGAGCCATGGACAGTGATGCTGCGGTCAGGGAGAAGCTGTTTTCTGCTAGCCTGAGCTGCAAGGAACCCAAGACAGAATGGGACCTTGCAGGCAGGAGCTGTTTTAATCCCCCTGCTGTTACTGTAACTGCTGCTGTAAATCCTGTGCCACAGGTTTGGGTGGGCCTGGTTGCCAGAGGGCAGTGCCAGCCCGTTGTACTCCTTGGAGCCCAGGGCTGCTGGGCACAGAGCTCTGAAGACAAGATGGAACCTGGGGCACGGGGAAGGAGGTTTTCTTCCCAGTTCAAGACAAGCTTGCAGAAGAGAACGAGCAGAGGGCCACGTCCAGCAGCTGCAAAAGCATGGGTTGTCTCCGGCTGGCTGCTCAGGCTGGGTGCAGTGGGGATGCTTGGCTGCTAGATCTTTGGCATCTGTGTGCTTTCCTGCACCCCCTAAGGGAAGTCAGTGGATCTGGGTCGTGGATGTTGCCCCAGTAGTGCAAGAACAGAGGTTACACCTGGAACAAACCACCTCTGGTGTGCAGACACCTGTGGCAGCACTGCAAACAGCAAGCATGGTGCAGCTCTTATGAGTCTGACAGCCTGTGCTTCCCAGCCCTGTGTCTTCTGGGGACATGCCAGCATAGGCTGACCCCGGTGCGCCCCGCTGCTGCCTGACATTGCTCCAGGCACCCATGGGCCCTCCAGGGAGTGCTGCAGTGAAAGTCACCTTGTCTAGAATAAGAATGGCAGGGCTGGGCATAATGGTCAGTGTGCTTCACTGTGGCCAGCTTTGAGAGCTGCACAGTGGTTGTGGGCTGTGGAATGGAAGACAGCAGTGCGGTTGTGGAGGTGGTGGTGGTGGTGGGCTGCGTCCCTCTGCTCAGGCTTTTGGTCTCAGCAGTGTTACCTCGCTCACGTAGTGCCTTCCCCCATCCAGGTTACAGCCACCGATGCCGACAGTGGCTTGTTTGGGTCCCTTTCCTACTCTCTTGGTTCTGGCATCGGCAGTGTGGTCCCAACGCAGTTCAGCATCGACAAGCACACGGGGCATCTGTGCACTGTGCAGCCTCTGGACCGCGACGAGGGCACGTCTGCCTATGATTTCACCATCACTGCTGTCGATGGGGTGAGTGCTGCAGAGTTCATGGGTATACAATGCTGCTGTCTCAGCACCATACAGAGGATATAGCTGTTCTTGCCCTGTTCTTTGCCCCATCTCTAATCACCGAGAGGGCAGTGAGGTGCTGGAACAGGTTACCCCAAGAGGTTGTGGATAACCCATCCCTGGAGATGTTAAAGGCCAGGTTGGATGGAGCCTTGGGCAACCTGGTCTAATACTTGATCTAGCAGTTGGCAACCCTGCCTGCAGCAGGGGGATTGGAACCTGTTGATCCTTGAGATCCCTTCTAATCCAAGCCATTCTGTGGTTCTATTGTCCCTACACAGGGTGGCTTGAACTCCATGGTGTATGTGAAGGTTTTCCTGGAGGACATAAATGACAATCGGCCGGTGTTCTACCCACTGGACTATGCTGCCAGCATCAGCACACAAAGCATGCCGGGTACAGCTGTGCTGCGTGTTACTGCCCATGACAAGGATGAGGGGATGCATGGCAAAGTGACCTATCGCATTGTCCTGGGGAACTCCCCTCCCCTCTTCTCCCTCAACAAGGACACAGGTGAGAGTGAACTCACAGCCAGCCAAACGCAGCACAAAGCAGAGCAGTGTGATGCAGGAAGATGTGAAGACTAGCCTGACAGTAACTGCTTGGCTATTTCAGCTGTGCAAGATGCTACCAGAATGTCTATTGCTCTCCTATTTTGTCCTTGTTCCAACTGCTTAATCCTCTGGCTGCCCACTCTCAATTTCTGACTGCTTATTTCTTCTCTTTGCTCTCTTCTTCCCTCTTCTTCAATGTCATCTCTGACTCACTACACCTTTCCTCCTGCAGTGCTTGCTTTGCCCCATCAAGCTGTATCCTGCTTAGTTTTTTGCCCCTACCTAATTCCCTCCTCTCCCTGCTCAGTTACTCTCCCTCCCTCCTATCGTTCTCCTAGTCTAAGCTTTCTCGTTGACTTCTCAGTGCTCGACTTCTTTGGCCACCAAAGCCAGAACAGTTTCTGTCTGGGGAAATGAGTACATGGTTGTGTGATGCCAGGGGCTCTCAGAAGGACTGGATGGTGTTCTGTGCTCACTACAGGCATCAGGTCTCCCCACATTAGTCCCCAGATTGCCAGAATGTGTCTGGGATGAAACAGGCCTATTGGCTACCATTGCACAGGGCAACCTCCTTTGTAGGGCCTGTCTGGGAAGGTCATTCAGCTCTGTATTTCTTCCAGGAGCCAGCTCGCAGCACAGAACCAACCTGTCCTTGCAAGATCCTGGCCCTCACCCTGTGCCACGCCTCTGGAATCCTACTCCATCCTTCCCCTTCCACAAGACTTTCTCTCTGACTTGCTTACTGCAGCCTCATAGCTGCTTAGCTTTGGGCTGAGCTTGAGATCAAGAAGGGAGAATTTGGGGAGCCTTCCCCAGGAAGATTTGTCTTCTTTACTCCGATTCTTCCACGTCCAGTTGCCCTGTGACACACATTGTTTGCTGCCCATTTTGGTCTTTTTGTTCCTTTGGTGCTGGATGATGGGCAGGGCTGTGGGCACAGTGAACTCTGAACTGCTCTCTTTCCTAGGTGTCATCTCTCTCTCGTGGTCCCTGAGTGGTAAAGCCAACACCCTTGTGCAGCTGGTGATCTCTGCAGAAGATGGAGGGGGCCTGCAGGCACAGCCGAATGCCCGAGTGAACATCAGCATTGTGGAGGGCACGGTCTCACCCCCTGTCTTTGAGCAAGCTCAGTACTTCTTCACAGTGCCGGAGGACACGCTGCAGGGCACCAGCGTGGGGGCTGTCCGTGCCCAAAATCCTCCTGGTACGGGTTTGGCCCTTTCCTATGCAGCTGTTTTCACTGTCCCTGCATTGTCTCAGAGCACCGATAGTACATCTCCTCAGAGAGCAGCATCATCCCAGGAGCTCCATGCACACACACATGCACACACATGTGAACATGCGCTCCATGCCAGTCAGCTGCAGTGCGTGCTCCCACACATGCTCATGTACACACACGTGTGCCCATGCATCACACACATGTGCACAGTGCTGCTGTACACATCCAGAGCAGAGCCTGCCCCAGACAGCACTTCCAGCTCTTCTACTCCCTATAGTGGGCTGAAAGCCAGGTTCGCAAATAATTCCTGTTTTCATTGCCTTGCCTGCAGGTCATAGCGATGACATCTTTTATTCCATCTCCTCGGGGGATCCTCATGGCTACTTTTCCATTGACTCTGACTCTGGGCAGCTCCGCACCAGCTTGCCTCTGGATCACGAATCTCAGGCAGTCCTGGTTCTGGATGTCCAGGCCCGAAGTGGTTCCCCCCCGGCCTACAGCAACACCCGTGTGAAAATCTCTGTGTCAGACGTGAATGACAACGCACCAGCGTTCCCATCTCCCTCTGACTCCATTCTGCTGCCAGAGGCCACTGAGCCTGGGACTACAGTGTACACTTTGCAGGCCGAGGACCGTGACAGTGGTGCCAACGGCCAGGTGAATTTTGATCTGGTGTCAGGAGGCGAAGGCACCTTCAGCGTTGAGCGCTCATCGGGGGCGGTGCGGCTGGCTGGGGTGCTGCAGTATGAAGCCAGTGCAGCCTACAGGTTGGCCATTGTGGCCCGAGACAGCGGCGTGCCCCAGCTCAGCTCCACCTTCACACTCCTGGTGCATGTGCAAGCTGAGCATGACAATGGGCCCATCTTTGATACACTCACCTACCGTGTGGAGGTGCGGGAAGGTGTGCCTGTCTCCACTCGCTTCCTGCAGGTGCGGGCCATTGCACGGGATGCAGAAGCTGTGACCCTGACTTACCACTTGCGTGCAGATGGAGATGCTGCCAGCTTTGGCATCATGTCTGAGAGTGGTTGGCTCTATGTCAAAAGTGCCCTGGACCGGGAGACACGAGACCTGTATGTTCTCACAGTGCTGGCATCGGCAGGAGGCAGCGGCTCAGGGGGGGAGGCCCGGAAAACGGGCACCAGCACCGTACGGATCAGCATCACTGATGAGAACGACAACAGCCCCCGACTGAGTGAGGAGCGGTACTTCTTCACTGTTCCTGAGAACCAGGCTCCTGGCAGCAGTGTAGGGAGGGTGATGGCAAGCGATCGGGATGCTGGGCAGAACAGCCGTCTCACCTACCGCCTGCTCCAGCATGACTCCAGTTTCCTCATCCACACGCAGACAGGTGAGAGTCCCCCTGGCTTCCTGGGCTGATTGAGGTGAAAGCTCAGAGCATGTCAGAAGGGACGCAGACCAAGCCAGTACCACCATAAATTGCTCATTTTCCTACCCCTGTGGTGCTGGGCTCCCCGACACACTTGAGTGTAAGCCCTTCTTTAAAGGGATTTTGGGGCTGAGCTGTGTCCCTATTTCTTCCTTGCAGGGGAGCTCAGCACCAAGCACAGCTTGGACCGGGAGCTGCAGTCCAGCTACCAGCTGCTGGTGATTGTGCAGGATGGAGGAGCACCGCCCCGCAGTGCCACAGGAACCATCTATGTCACTGTGCTGGACGAGAACGACAATGCTCCTGCTTTTCTTCATATCACTGCTGGCCAGGAGCTGACCATGCAGGTAGGTGGAGCAGGCTGAAGCCCCGGTGGGCTGGGCTGGGAGCAGGCTGGGGAAGGGTGAGGGCAGAGCAGAGTCTCATGGTGAGAGATGAGAAGGCACAGGTTGCTTGCATGCAACAGTCCGGGCAATCTGGCAAATCTCAGGGAAGGTGTGATGAGATGAGCACGTCCTTGGGACATACAGACCTTGTGCATGGAGTGAGTGAGGCCTACAAAGGGCTCTGCGGCCAACAAAACCCAAAGGCAGGCAGAAGGTCTGGGTTCACACCTGCCTGCAAGGAGGGAAAGTGGGAGGGAGCCCTAAATCTGAACTGATGGAGCCAGGAGTGGAACATTGATGGATGGGGAGGCATGGGGTACGTTTGTATTCTGGGTCTCAAGACCTTCACAGTAGCCACTTTGGTTTCTGGGAGGTCAAGAAAGTGCTCTTCAGGTTGTTGAGTATCTGCAATGGGTCCCTGCCCAGCTTTCCTTTTAAGTGTGACGTGGTGACCAAGGTCAGCCAGCACTGAGAGTTCTGCTCTGAGTTATGTCTATGCTGCTGAAGGGAAGAGGAGAGGACCAGGCCTTGTTCCCCAGCACTACTCTGCTTGGCCCCTCTGAAGTGGTGTGTGGCCAGGACACAGCAGCGATGGCGTGTGATGAAAGGCCTGCTCTCATCTCTCTATGGAATGGGGAGCATCTACAGCAGAAAGGATGCACTTGAAGTGCACCTTAAAGCACAGCAGGCTGCTTACTGAAAGAATATTCACTGTCTGTAATCTGCTGAGTGTTCTGTGTGGGGACACCTGCAACATATGTGTGCAGCATTTGGGCCATGACACACTCAGAGGGTTTTAGAGCCTGAGAGGTCTCTTTTCTTGCAGAGTATCACAAAAACATATGCATCCTTAAGGAGATAGAGCATGGCTGAGATGTATTTAGAATTGGTAAGGCAGGTAAATGTGATGGGAGTTTGAACCAAATTCTTATCTGTACACTTTGATTTTAATCTTTCCTTGTAGGAAACACTGAAAGAGAAATGATGCACAGGAAGAAGTCACTTGGATGATCTAGGTGTATAAGAAAGGCTTGGAGGAAAAAGGAAAAACTAAATGATAGGCATAAACTTGGTGATTTATTGACGATGTGCTCAGAGAACTTTTTGTATTCATGTTCATCAAGCAAAGCAGAAGGAGGTTTCTGTATCAGTACTTTGCTTTAAGCATGGTCTGGATTGGCCTCTCCCACTGTGGGTTTGTGAGATTTGTTTCTCAAGCACGTGGGCAATATGTGTCAGGTCCAGGAGCTGTTCACACAGGGATGGCAGAAACAAATTCTGCTTCTTCTTTACCAGGTCCTGCCAGGGAGCAGTCACCAGGAAAAGGAGAGAGATCAGAAAGGGGTCAGTATCTGCTTTCATAGCAGAGATGCCACTGGGGAGTGCCCAGGACTGCTGCTGGTGTTCTTGCTATTCAGCATCTTGCTATACCCTCCAGGACAGGTGGCTGTTTGCTGATGTTACTGCTTTATTTGTGGTAATAAAGCTGAGGTCTCCCAGTGAAAACAGCAGAAAGATCTTTTACTGTTCAATGAGGAAAGAAGATGGAAGATGACATTCACTGTTTCTAACTGGAAAGTGATAACATATATGGCAAAAAGCAGTATAAATTTCACTCTACACAGTGATGGTCTCTGAGCTGGCTGCTGAAGCTTAGGGAGAAAATTGAGGCATCGTTGTAAATGCATTTTGAAAATGTCAGCTCAGGTCTCAGCAGCAGTCAGAAATGCTGGGTTTTATCAGAAAGGAACAGAGACTGAAAGAAAACCTTGTATCTCCAATTCTGCATACACTCTCTGCACTGCCCCCATTGCTCTGAAGCAGCAGTAGTGCTAAAAAGGCTTGAGAAAAGAGTGTTAATGTGATCTCCAGTAGATAATGGTTTCCATGCAGATAGAAAATATTTGAACATTCTTTGGCATGATAGAAACTGTGGGAATATATATCAGAGGTGTGCCCTGAGTGGTGCAAAGAAAGTTGCATGGAAATTAAAGGTCCTTTTTTCACAATACAAAAACTAGACAGCTTGGTAGCAAATGACCGGGCAGCAGGTTTAAAATAAACAAAGACAGAACTTTCTCATGCAGAGCATAATTAAAACGTGAAATCATTGCCAAAAGTTGCATGGGTTCAAAATTAGATGAATTCATGGAAAGAAAAAAATCCATCAAAGTCTGTTGAACAAAAATACGATCTGTGGCTCAGGAAGTGACTGAGCCACAGGCTGCTGGAAGCTGGAAAGTTTTCACAGGAGAATTATTCCATACGTACCCTACTTCTTGCATCCTCTCTATATCCGCTGCTGCCACTCCCAGAGCGATGCCCCTCGTCGAGGTGGTTCTCTGAGCTTTGGGCCAGGTTGGCATTTGCAGCAGCCTTCTTGGAGAGTGGGCATCTGATCTGCACAACCCCGCCTGGCTGTAGTTTTACTAAAGTTGAGGTTTTCGCAGAGGCAAAACCGCTTCTGTTATTGATTCCTCTGTTTGAGCATCTGAAATGGCGTTTCTAATGGAGCCTGTGTGGATGATGCTTGTTTCGCTCCCCTGCTGAGTCACTGCTTTCTCAAATGGAGTTTGATTCGTGGTGGAGAGCAGTGTGGCTTTTGTGGGAGCCCTTTGCATCTCAGTTGAAGGCCATTAGGAACAGCATGAGGAGCAAGCCCTGCCCCAGGCTGGAACAGAGAGAGGCTTGGAGGGGTCTTCTCAAGCACAGTTCTGCTGAGGTGTCCACGCAGACAGTCCTTCTCATAAACAGCCAGCTATATTTAGAAGGTCCTCTGCCTCCATCACTGATGCAAAATGCTGTTCCAGATTCCTTGATCTAGTAGTTAGAAACCATCTCTTAATTTCCAGCCTAAACTAATTTCTGACCACTTTATACTCATTTGTTCTTGTGCCAATATTGTGTTTTTGCTTAGAGAGCTCTTCTCTCTCCTTGGAATTTCCCTCCCCTTTTCCCAGTGTTTACAGAGTGCAGTCACATCGCTGCTTGGCCTGGATAAACAAGTCCAGCTCCTCTGCCCCCCCCCTCCCCTCACAGAGCACCACCAGCGTTGTGCCAACAGCTTGTGCAGCAGTGTTAGCACATGCTTCCTCCCGAGGGCCTGCAGCCTCTTCCCTTACATTCTTGCATGGATTGTGTTTGCCTTTTGCATGCATGCATGCGTTGAAGTGGTACCACACAGAGGTCAGAGAGCTGGGTCTGTGAGCATGATTTGTGCTGTAGGATGAGAATTTGGTCTGTGACAGTCTTACTGACAGGAAACAGATCACAATCTGTGCTGAGTAGGGCTCCTGCTCTGCTGCAGAGGTGTGGGGAGGTGCAGGGAGCCTGTGCCAGGGAAGGAACAGTCTGCCAGCAGGTGTGAGGCACTGAGGGTACCCCAAAGCTGATGGATGGGGAGGGTCTGTGATGGGGATGTGTCCATTTTGATAGCTGTCCAGGAAGGGAGCTTCCATGTGGTGCTGCTCCATGTGGCTTCTGTCAGGAAGCCCGGAGTGTGGGGTTAGCTGAGCACATGGTGCACTGACAAAATGGTAGTCTTAAATGCCTGCAGACAGCAGTGCTAACTAGGAGCAAAGGAGAGGAGGGAAAGCCCTAAGAGTCAGAGTGTGTGGGTGCAGAAAGAACTGCCTGCTGCATTTCCAGGGACCATGAACCACCCTGTACTGGCTGATAGGAGCTGAAGGAACTCTCCATTTCCAGGATGAATGGCCTCTGGCCCAGTTATTGCATTTCCCTCTGAAGGGTTCTTCTGGGGCAGGGGGGATTTTCCTCACTGCAGAGGCCTTGGATGTAACATGGGCAGTGTCCTTCCATCACCCTATACTTCACCACTGCAGCATGCACCAAGGCTGTTGAGCTGCACTAAGCCTTGTGGCATAACAGGACAGCTGGTGGGGCAGGACCTCCCTCCACCTGCTTGGCTGCAACCTTCCTCACATCATCCAGCCTCAGGCACAGCCTGTGGGTCTTGGTTGGGGTGCTGTGCCCCGGGTGAAGTGCAAGATGGGTATAGGAAGGCGTAATACTGCTGTGCTGCGGTCTTGGGGATGGTGTGAAGGATGTCACTCAGTTGCTCCCTGGGCTGTGCTGCAGGTGCTGGAAGAGAAGCCATCGGGACTTCTTGTTGCCTCCCTGCAAGCCAAGGACCCTGATGAGGGTGAGAATGGGACCATCACCTACTCACTAACAGGTATGAGCTGTCAGCCTGGCTTTCAGCATGCAGCTGTGACCCTCAGAGGCAGACGGTCCCTCTGCCACAGCACATTCTCTCCTCCATCCCCACGTGCCCCCACCCTCCCTCCTCTCTCTGCAGCATTTCACCTTCTCTCCACAGGAGCCTGGGCAGAGCGTTTCACACTGCACACAGCCACTGGAGAGCTGCGGACTGCCACGGTGCTGCGCCGGTCCGACCGTGCTGAGTACGTCTTCACTGTGACAGCCAGCGACCGGGGCATGGTGCCCTGCAGCACCTCAGCCATCGTTCGTATTCAGGTATCCAGCACCCCAACCGCTCTCGTCCCTGCACCATGCACCCCTTGCTCACCTCTCAAAAGACACCGTGTAGCTACTCGGCAGCATTCCTCTCTACCATCTTTACCCTCCACCACCTTCATCCCAGAGCAGCCACTGCCTTTGCTCAACTGTTGCACCAGCCTCACCATCTGTGTGGAGGACCTGGGATGGGAAAGGATGGGTCTGGCTGCCATTGTGCATATATCCTCATTCACAAAGTCATCAATGTCAGCATTAGTGGTAAACACTTGTCTTCTCCAGACTTGGACAGTCTGCCCTGTCCTAGAAATGCTGTTGTGGGGAAGATCTTAAAATTCTCCTGCCTGGAGACATTAATTCTTCCTGGCATTTTTTTCTCCAGGCATGTGGGGTTTTCTTCACGTCTGCCTAACTGTGGTGCTCACTGTCTGGTGTGTTGGCTAAGATAGCCAAGTCCTTTCCCTGTTGTTAGTAATGAGCTTAATTGTACAGCAGACTCCAGTTTCCCTGCAGTCAATGCACTTTCATGGTGTGCCATTTCACATCCTGTCGTGTTGTTGCAATTCCCATTACCACTTGATGTTCTCATTTGATGTTCTGCTGCACAGAATGCAGGCAGTGCCCTGTAACACTGTCAGTGAGCCCATTGTGTATGCAGCTTTCTTTTATTATTATATTAAATTAGACTTGCTGTATTTCCTTTGTGCTTGAGGAGAGAAGTCCCGTGTTAGACTGGCACATCAGCCTTTAGCCATTCCACAACACGTTTTGAAAACATTTCCTTTTTATGCCATGTCTGTAGCTGTTCTTGTCTTTAAAGTTCTTCTGCAGCCTTCAAAGTAATAAGGCCAGGCTGAATTGCTTGTTTGCATTCCCATAATGGAGCTATTTGCTTGACAGTCATTGGTTCTGATACTCCTCCAGGTTGATGGTTTTGCTGGATTCTTTTTTTCCCAGCTCTTTCACATGAGTGCACTGACTTTTTTGAGACATGTTCCCATCAGATGACACTATTGCTTTTCACTGTCACCCCTGAATTAATATCAGTATCTTTAATTAGAGTAATAATAGTACTTATGTATCTTTGGATCATACTAAGTTGTCTTCTCTGTACTTCTCATCTGATTGAGAATTACTTCTCTTCAAAGCTGTTTCTGCTGGCATCTGTTCCCATTACAGTACCTAACCCACTCACAGTATCACAGCACGGCTGAGGCTGCAGGCACATCTGTGTCCATCTGGTCCACTCCCTGCTGCAGGCCACCCAAAGCTGCTTGCTCAGAACAATGTCCTGGTGATTTCTGAAGGTCTCCATGGATGGAGACCTCCCTTGGCAGCCTGTGCCAGTGCTCAGTTACCCACCCCATACAGAAGGACTTCCTGATGTTAAGATGGAACCTACTGTGCTCTCATTTGTGCCCAGAGCCTCCTGTCTTCTCACTGGGTGCCACAAAAAAGAGCCATACACTCTCTCTTCAGATACTTATATTCACTTATGCCCCAGAACCTTCTCTGCTCAGTCAGCAGCTCTGTCCTTACCTGCCATAACTCCCCAGATGAAGCTTGTCTTTCATCCTGTCAAACCTGAGCTCATTCTACATGTATTTTTCAGGCCACAAGACTTGTGACCTGGCCTCCCTAAACCTGCAGTCTGCATGTCCCCTCTCCACTGGCTCCCCAGCATCCCTCCCAGAGCGCATCCCTGACTGCTGCCTCTCCTCTTCTCACAGGTGCTACCGTCCTCCCGCTTGCTGCCCAGACCGGATGCTACCGTGCTGACACTGCACCCCCCAGAGGGGGTAAAGCCGGGCTCTGTGATCGGCTCAGTGGCACCCCCTGATGCCCCTGCACGGGGACAGCTGACCTACACGGTGGTAGGAGGTGGTGGGGATGGCACTTTTGTTGTTGACAGCGTGACAGGGGAGATCTACGCTGCCCGGGAGCTGGATTATGAGGCCGGGGCCCGGCACACGCTGCAAGTGAGCACTGAGGACACGCAGCACGGCTACCCGTCCAGCCGTCTGGTGCTGGTGCAGATCCACGTGCAGGACTGCAACGACCAGGCGCCCACCTTCCCCGAAGACCCCATCACCATTGTGGTGCCCGAGGATGCGCAGGCTGGCTCGTCTGTCTTCACCTTCCAGGCTCTGGATGGGGACGGGGCAGGCCCCAACAGCCAGGTGCGCTACGCCCTGCTGCGCCAGGAGCCCCCAGGGGGCCCTTTCCAGCTCGACGGCCGCTCGGGGCTGCTGAGCCTTCGCCAGAGCCTCGACCGTGAGTCTGTGGCCTCCTTCCTCCTGGTGGTGGAGGCCATGGACCAGGCCCGCAACGTCAGCCAGCGTCGTTCGTCCGCTGTGACAGCGCGTGTGTTCGTGACCGACGTGAACGACAATGCGCCCGTCTTCCTGTCACCTGCTGCCATCAGTGTCACAGAGGACCGGCCGACTGGGTTCGTGGCTCTGCATGTGGTGGCCCAGGACAACGATCTGGGAGAGAATGGACGAGTGAGTTACTCACTGCGAGCGGGCAACAGCGATGGCCGCTTCCACCTCAACCCCAGCACTGGTGAGAGCCTGGGCAGGGTGCAGGGTGACACTGGGCTGTGGGGGCTGGGCAGGGTGCAGGCACATGTGGGAGTGTTGCACGGTGCACAAGAGAGCGTGGGCCGGAGAGTTCAGGTCACCTGGATTTGTGAAGAATTTGTGGGGTGCACACCTAGCTGGGGTGACCTTGCTGTCTTGAGACTTGGCTGCCCCTGCTGCCCCTCCATCCCTGCAGACTTGCAACAGCTCTGTCCTGGGAGTGGTTGGTCTCGAAGCCATGTGATCCCTGCTCACCCCTCTCCCCATGTCTGTAGGTGCACTCTCTGTTGTGCGGGCTCTGAACCGTGAGGAGGTGGTGCAACACAACCTGACTGTGGTGGCTGCTGACCATGGCTTCCCACGCCGCTCAGCCACGCAGCTACTCTCCATACTGGTGCTGGATGTCAATGACGAAGCTCCCACCTTTGAGAAGCCTGAGTATGAGGCACACATCACGGAGAACCTTCCAGCTGGCAGCCCTGTCCTGCAGGTGCTGGCCACAGACCGGGACCTGGGTGAGGATGCAGGGTTCAATCAGGGACCTTCTGGAAACACAGCACACAGGACAGAATGTGCTCCCTCCTGCCTGGTTTGGAGTGCATGTTTGACCTTTGAGGGAGGGACTATCAGCTGGCCTGAAAATGAGGGATGGGACAGACCTGGGAAGAAGCTGAGGATGAGAACAGAGGCTGCAATTCCCTCTGCTTCCCAAGTCAGTGCCCTTTGTTCTTTGGAGATTCATTGTCCTGTCTTCCACAAACTGAACAGGGCTGAGGCTTCCCTCCACCACACATCTCTCCCCACACCTTTACTCGCTATGGCGTGAGATCACCCCACAGTGTCACCCTTAGAAGGAATGAAGTACAGGGCTGTGATCCAAGTGAGAGGTTCTTGGTGTTGCTACTGGGTTCCTTCAAACATGCTTCTCCTGCAGGTGCCAACGGACAGGTGACCTATGGAGGTCTCTCTGGGGGGCCGTTCTCTATCCACCCGCAGACGGGTCTCATTGTCACCACACATCCCTTGGACCGTGAAGAGCAGGAGCAGCATGTGCTGATGGGTATGGCTGTGCTGGTGCATGGGAGGGAGCAGCAGGCACTGGGGAGGGAGAGGTGGAGGGCACGGAGCAGGCAGATGCACTTTCTCTGCTTTTGGGATAGAGCAGCATTGCAAGGAGGGCAGGACATGGAAAGTAATGGAGGTTTGTGGGGCATGCAGAATTTTTGGGTGATTTGGGCATACAGAAATGCCAGTGCTCCCATTCTTTGCTGCCCTGTGACTGCCTGGACAGCTGCATGTGATGGCATTGGTAGTAGCTCCCAGTCTGCAGCACACTCTGCATCACTCTTGCTGTGTTCCTGCAGTCTATGCACGGGATGGTGGCCTGCCCCCCAACCTCTCCAAGGCAACTGTGCGGATAACAGTAGGGGATGAAAACGACCACACACCACAACTGGAGAGTGAGTCCTGCTCTGTGGAGGTCCCTGAGAACCAAAGCCGCGTGGCACTCTACACCCTGCGTGCCACTGACCCTGATGGAGACGAGAACGGGCGCTTGGAGTACCGCGTGGCAGGTGAGAGCACAGGGACACGGGGAGCTCTGTAGCTTCATTCTTGGAGGAGAGTAATGGCTGTTCACCACGGGTTGCCAGGAGTTCTGGGAAGCATCAGCTCTGGCAATTCCTGTTCTACATCATTTCTCTCCTGTCCTGAACCACGGGTAGCTGTTCCCTTCTCTCAACCTTCTAATTCCTCTGCCCCAGTAAAAAGCACTCCAGGATGTGCACAGGCTGCATTACTCACACTCTGTCCATTTCCCCGGGCTCAGGATGGCTCCATACCTCTCTTGCTTGCTATGGCCTGTGGAATTTACGGATTGCCAAGTCTTTACTGTTATGCCATGTCTCACTGTGGCACTACAGTGGTCTGTGAGCTGATGGAGCCTGTTCTGGCACAGCACACATACTCAAACACACATTCTGGGCCTGAGGAGGTTCAGACACCAGCTCACTCTACCATCCCAGGTAGCATAGTCCAGGACCCTCTCTGTGCCAACTCCAAGTGTACACACTGAATGCTGTCTTGCTATTCCTTCTCTTTTCTAGATGGAGATCCTGAGCAGGATTTCATCTTAGACCCTGTCTCTGGTGTCCTCTCCACTGCACGTGCCCTTGACCGAGAGCAAGTTGCTTTCTACAGCCTCACAGTAGTGGTTCAAGACCACGGCACCCCACCACGCAGTGCAACCATGTCAGTGAATGTGCAGGTGTTGGACTTAAATGACAATGCTCCTGGTTTTGCTCAAGCCAGCTATGTGGTGGAGGTGCCCGAGGACTTACCTGTTGGTTCCCTGGTGCTGCAGCTGGAAGCCGAGGACCCTGATGAGGGCACCAACGGGCAGGTCACCTACTACCTGGGCAATGAGTCCCTGGGCATGTTCCAGGTGGAGCCACAGAGTGGACGCATCAGAAGTGCCCAGGAGTTGGACCGGGAACGCCAGCCAAGTTACAGCTTTCTGGCCAAGGCTGTGGACTCAGCACCATGGGAGCCCAAAAGCGCAGCTGTGCGTGTCACAGTCACGGTGCGGGATGTCAATGACCATGCTCCTGCCTTCCTGCACAGCCCGCTCACTGTCAGCTTGTCTCGCCACACGCCGCTCAAGCAAGTTGTGGCCACCATGAGGGCAGAGGACAGGGATGCAGGTGCCAATGCCTCCATTCTGTATCGCCTTGCCACCCCGAACTCAGCCTTCTCAGTCAACTCCTACACAGGGGATATCCAGCTGCTGCAGCCCCTGAGCTCACTGAGCCAGCGCCAGCGGACACTCTTCATCCTGGCCACGGACCTGGGGCAGCCAGCGCTTTCCTCCACTGGTGTAGTGGTGATCCATCTGCAGGAAGAGCCCTACCGGGGGCTGCGCTTTCCCCGGAGCACCAATGAAGTGGTCCTGCCAGAAAATGCTGCTCCAGGTATCTGCTGAGCAGAGTGCCCAGCACAAGCTGAGATGGAGTGGGATGGGATGGGATGGGATGGGATGGGATGGGATGGGATGGGATGGGATGGGAGGGAGGTGGGTGACAAGCTAGAATAGTTCTATAGGCTGGAACTCAGACCAGGGAGCACTGCAGGATCTTAGGAAGTCGTGTTATGCTTTGGGTAGACCTAGGGGGATGGCAGGGCCTGACTGAGCCCAGGGTGTTGGGGGTGATAATCCTGTGAGCTTTTACAAGATGTTCTGATAGCTGTGGGCAGTCACAGGTGCCCACTTGCTGGTGGAATGGCTGCAGGGTTCACACTGAGACCATAGAAGGGCCCCAGGAGTCTCATCTCCAGCCCAGAGTTTACCACTGTTTCTCACATACTTTGACAGCTGTATTCCTGTGGTATAACATGTGCTATCTATAAACCATCCTGACCCTCAGTGTGCCCTGAGACTGTGCTGCCCATTCAAAACTGCTTCCTTTCTTTCCAGGTACTGCTGTCGCAAACATCCAAGCTGTACACATGGGGGGCTCTTCTGGGCGCATCACGTACAGCATTATCAGTGGCAACGAGAAGAATGCTTTCCTTATCCAGCCCAGCTCAGGTACAGCACCAGAACCACACAGGGAAGCGGCAAGGGAAAGTCGCCTGTGCTCTGTCAGTGCCTGCTTATCACAGCACTCAGAGTCCTCCAAAGGCACAGGAATGCAGTTTACAACTCTATACTACTAAATCTAATAGTGTTAGTATCCCATCAGTGTCCAGAGGATGCTAGTACAGCTCCTGGCAAAGTATTGGTTCCTGCTAATTGGAATTTTCCTAAAAAGTTCGCAAGGCCTGCTCAGGAGTTAGCAGAGGTCACAACATTGTTAAGAGGTGATCTGGATGTGCCCTTGTCTTAGACAGCAAGCTATGACCAAATGACTCAGCCCAGATCTCAGAGCCAGGCACTTGGGCTGCCATGTCTTATATATTATAGTGTGCATGTTAGCTGCTGTGACTGCGGCACTGCTGTGTGGTTATGGCTGCGTGGTCCCAAAGATGACAAAAAAATGGTGAACAGCTCACTGACCTGTGGACATTTCTAATTTCTGCACCACTGTGCACTGAGCAGTCAACAGATGCTGAACATAACAGTGGTGCTTGTGGATGGTTGATAACCCAGCAGTGAGGTGAGGCAGGCTACAGGGTACTGCCCAGTGACACTAGGCAAGCTGGTGTTGGTTGCACCACAAGCTTCAAAGGGCAGCCTTGGAAGGGCAGCATTTCCCCGGACATCAAGGAAGTCCTGGCTGAGTCTAGGATGAGGGGGGACCATTTTTGCCCTACAATTTGGAAGAGTCTGGGATATGAGAAAGTCTGCAGAGTACAGAGGTCAAGCTGGAGCTTCTTGTGAAAATGCAATTTTCTTGTAGTCTGCTGGGTGATTGGGGTTGGAACAGGATTCCAGACCATTCTGGCCACAGTGCTTGTGCTTGAGTCCATGGCCATTGTGCAGGTCCCTGTGAGCCACCTGCAGTATGGCATGGCATGCAGATCATTAATACCCCTATTAACAGCTGCCAGCCACAGTGACTGTGCATCATGTGTCCCTTCAGCCGCAGTATAGTCACCTTGCTGTCACTGCAAGCCACTCATTACCCTGTGCTCCTGCTGTGAAGAGGCCTCTGAACACTGGGATCATGAGGAAGAGGCCAGACCAGGTCACAGCACCTGTCCCAGCCTCACAGTGTGCAGCTCCAGCCTTGAAGAAGCTGAGCTACAACTGCAGACCTCCTGCTGCAGCCAGCACCACACTGAGGTGACCCACCCTGCCTGCACCCTGTCTGCCCAGAGTGCTGGGTTCCACCTCCGAGTGTGTCTCATTGCAGTGCTTCTGTCACTCCTAGAGTGTCATCCCAGCTCCAACCACAACTCAGCAGCTGCCACTGTGCAGTTCCTGAAACTCAGAGACAAAGAAAAGGGCAGATGGTGGAAATTCAGTCAGATTCACAGAGGTCTTTGTGGAAAGCAGCCTAGGGATGGTCCGCCATGTGTTCTGAGTCCCAGGGACTGCTGCCTGTGAAGGAGTTCACACACTGCCATAGCAGTCTGCCTGCCTGATGCTGCATCCAGGAGTGAGAAGAGGAGCTGCTCTGTTTGTGAAGTGCAAGAGGAGCTGATGGGGTGGCAAGTTGGAAAAGTCCTGGTTCATAGGCCAGCAGTCACAGAATCACAGAATGACAGGGATTAGGAAGGACCTCGAAGGATCATTGAGTCCAATCCCCCTGCTGGAGCAGGAACACCCAGAGCAGATCACACAGGAATGCATACAGGCAGATTTTGAATGTCTCCAGAGAAGGAGACTCCACAACCCCTCTGGGCAGCGCATTCCAGTGTTCTCTCACCCTCACCGTGAAGTTTTTTCCCATATTTATGTGGAATCTCCTCTGTTCTATCTTGCACCCAATGACCCTTGTCTTACCATTGGATGTCACTGAGAAGAGCCTGGCTCCATTCTCCTGCCACGCACCCTTTACATAGTTATAAACAGTAATGAGGTCACCCCTCAGTCTCCTCCAAGCCAAGGAGCCCAGCTCAGTGGTGTCACAGAACATCCCCTGCCATGTCTCTGTGATCCCTGTCTGGTCAGATCCCTGCTTGTCTCTGCTTAGGCTGTGTCTGCCAGCAGTTCCCCAGCCATCCTGGACATGCCCTGGCTGTGCCTCAGTGCCACAGATGAAGTGTGACTTCATCTTAGTGAGGAAATGTTTCCTTCACCAAAGTTCCCAGAAGGATTTTTCCCTCCTCAGGTCTCATTTGTCTGGGAAACACATCTCTGCTTTCTCCTTGGGCAACAGGCTGCACATTGTGACTGTATGCAGGTTCTGGAGCACCATGAAGATGGGGCAGGCACATGGCAGCTCAGTGTGGCTCCCCAGCCCTCTGGCTGCCAGCAGTGGCACACAGTGCCTTTGGCTTTAAGCTGTGCCATGACAATGAGCCAGTTCCTCATTATTTTTGGATGCATCACTGGGAATGCTGCCAGTCATTAGTAGAGAATAGCATAGCATAGCGTAGAACAAAACAGAAGGGAACTACAGAGACCGTTGAATCCAGCTCCCTGACCACATGAGGGATAAACAAAAGTTAGAACTTATCCAAAGCCAAAAGTTAGAGCATTATCCAAAGCCTCTTGAACACCAGTAGGGATGTGGCATCGACCATCTCTCCATGAAGCCTGATCTAGTGTCTGACCAGCCTCGTGACAAGGAGGTTTTTCCTAATGCCCAGCCTGAACCTCCCCATGCCCAGCTCTGTGCTGTTCCCATGCACCCTGCCTCTCCCCTTGCCTTCCAGTCCTTCTCATGGGTTTTGTTGCCCTCATCTGGATGCTTTCTTGTAACTTGGCATACTTCTATATTGTGCGGCCCAGAACTGCACACAGTAGTCAAGGTGAGGCCACACCAGTGCTAAATATGGCAGAGAATCATTTCTTTTGACGGTCTGGCTGTGCCTTGCTTAATGCACCCCAAAATACAGTTTTGGTTGCCTGGGCACACTGCTGGCTCACACTGAGCCTGCAGTCACTGGCAGCCTCAAGTTTCTTCCCGTAGGGCTGCTGTCCTGCCTGTGCCTGTGTCCAACATGACTCCATCCCAGGTGCAGAACCTGACATTTTCCTTTGTTGAACTTCATGCTATTGCACTAATTACCTAGACCTGTTTTAGTAGATCTTTTAGGAGACCCATGATCTTCCTGGATGGGACAGCAATGTGTCACTGCCAGAGCCCATGCTTATGTGGATGTGTGTCCTCGGTCCCCTTGCAAGAGGACTGTTTGCAGCCCTTCAGTCTCTTTGTACAGATTCAGTCTAGACAAATAGTGTAGATAGCTGACTTTAGGCTGGGGCTTGATGAGCTAGCTCCGCAGTATGGGGCTCGACATGGGGCAGTTCTCATCTAAACTGGCCATTTCAAGCTCACGGAGGGTAGATTTTGGTTAGATGTAAGGAAAAAATATTTTACAGTGAGGGTGGTGAGGCACTAAACGGGTTACCCAGTGTTGTGGTTGGTGCTCCATCTCGAGACTGCAGGTGGGGCTGGATCAGGTCCTGGGCAACCTGATGGAGCTGTGGTATCCCTGTGCTATGCAGGGTTGTGGTCAGGATGGCCTTTAAAGGCCCCTTCCAACTCTAAGAATTCTATGATTCTATACCAGATGATGTCCCCACTGGGAAGACTATTGCATGCTTTAATGTCAATGTAAGGTGTCTGTCCTGAGCACCGTACAGAATTTATCAGCACAGCAGCTCACTGTGGCTCATGAGAAGGCTTTTGTTTTGAAGGAAGCTCAGTATGCTTCTTCTATTTGAGAATGGATGGACTGACAGAGGGATGGACTAAGTGCAAGGGAACAACAGAGGTGAGGGCTGGGTGTGCTGGTGCATCACTTCCCCTTCTCCCCCCACCCTGCTGTCTCTCCAGGTGCCATTTCAGTTCAGGACTCCAGCAGCCTGGATTTTGAGGCCAGCCCCCGGCTGCGCCTTGTGGTCCAGGCAGAGACAACGGCTTCCTTCGGCTTTATGGCCATAAACCTCAACCTGCAAGATGTGAATGACAACTTGCCACGCTTCCAGCTGCAGAACTACGTGGCATTCATCTGGGAGTCCCAGAGCTATGACTCCCCAGTTATCCAGGTAGCACTGGGAGCAAAAACAGGGACAGTGGTTCCCCTGGCTGCCTCTGCCAGGAGGAGGAGGTGGGGGCTGTGCCTAAGGCTGGCACCTGTGGATCCGTATGTCTTGCTCTGGAGATCCATTGTTTACAGGGCTCTAGACTGCACTGCTGAATCTCTCCAATGGCCTTGCAGGTCCTAGCAGATGATCTGGATCAGGGAATGAATGGGCAGGTGACTTACGCCATCAACCAGTCCCTGCCAATGACAGGCTTATACCACATCGATCCTCAGACTGGCACGATCACTACTGCTGCCATCCTGGACAGGGAGATCTGGTCCCAGACCCGGTGAGTAGGGCCAGATCAACTTGTACCACAGATATGAAAGTGACATAGGAGCAGCATCCCCAGGGTTGCAGAGGATACTTTGCTGCCTGGTGCCACACCAAGCTGTTGCCGAACAGCAGAAACCTGGAGTAAGTGGTAACCTGGGTATCAAATGAGGTGTGACAGATGGCCATGAGATGAGCCTGAGCTCCGTTCAGCCTGGCCTTTGCAAATCTGAGCAGGCTGTGGAGGGGCAGTGGACTCTTCAGTAGTTGCATCCATTTCCTTTCCTACCTGTTAAATCCAGGTTAGATCTGTTCAGTTTCTGCCCACTCCCACACATTGCACCCTCCTGCCCTACCATGTGTCCCCCAGCAGCTATGCATCAACTTCAACCATCTTGCTAGTCCCCCTGTATTCAGTCCAAGTCCTCAAGGTCCCTCACCACACATACAGGTTCTTTAATCCCCCAGTCTAATCACAATTATGTAAGATGAGTTCATGTCCTCCCCTATCTCTGTACAGGAGCATGGCCCAGATACAAGGAACAACTTCTACCATCCCACCCAGACCTCATTCCCTTTGCTATATCCATGCTTCCCTGCTCCACATCTATCTCCCCTTTTCCAAGGCAAGGAAATACCTAGGAAATACCTAGGGTATTCATTCCATTCACGTACCCATCACTGCTCCACTCAAACCGAGGCTCCATGTGTTCCCTAGTTCCCAAATATGCCCCAAATGCTGCCATCTGTCCCCTGCTCACCCTACTTGCTCTACCCAGCTCTTCTCCCATACACATCCCAGTCTCCTGCCCATTTCACAGACTAAAAAAATCCACTGCCCTCCCCTTGCAAAAGCCCCCATCTGTGCATGCCTACAGATGCACAGATTAATGTCTGTGCATTAATCCACTGCCTATCAGATGCTCCAGACACTTGTGCCTACATGCACGGCCTGCTCATATGCTCCAGGTGCTGGGCAAAAACCCACTGCCCTCCAAATACACACTCAGATGTGCATCCTATGTTCTTGATAGGTGCACATCCATTGATCCACTCCAGATGCTCTGTACACATCCATTGCCCCAAACACTCCAGATGTGCAGAGTTTTACTACATGCTCCAACCTGTGCACATGTGCAGTGTCCTCCTGTTCCAGATGCTGTGTGTGCGTACACTGCTCCTGACATGTGGTTGTAACCTTCCTGCTATGCCTTTGTGCTTTCCTGCAGCTTGGTGGTAACAGCGATGGACAGAGGGACCCCCCCTCTCGTAGGTTCTGCTACACTGACAGTTGTGGTGATGGACATCAATGACAACAGCCCCACCATTCCATTTCCCTGGGAGGTGCGGGTCCCAGAAAGTAAGTGCCTCTCAGCCCTATGAGGTAACGTGTCACTAATAGCAGGAACTGAGTTGTGGTAGACACCTGTGGGTGGGAGAGAAGCCCTCAGTGGGCCTGTTCCCTTGCCAAGGGCTGGCTTGTGCTGGCCCTTTGACTGAGCTTCACTGAGCCCTCCAGCATTGCTCCATCTGTGATGTCCTGGTGCCAGTGGGTTGTGCAGCTCTGTGTCTTGAGGGAACCAGTTGAACTCAGCTCCTCCCTGGCCCCAAACCATGAGGGCTCTGGTTGCACACCCCTGCCCTGCCAGCTTCCTGCCCTCTGCATTCATGCCCCATCTCCCTGCCTGACTCCCAGGACCTGCCCCTTCACTGTCAGCATCTCCCTAGTGCTCAGGTTTCCCACCACGTGAGCCAGAGCCTCTGAGGAGATGGGGATGCTGGCTCACACCTCACCTCTCCACAGACATGCTGCTTGGCACCCAGATAGCCCAGCTGACAGGGAACGATGTGGACTCGGGCCCTGCACTCTCCTACACCCTCATGCTGGATGGTGATGCTGTGGGTACATTCAGTGTGCTGCGCTATGGGGGACGCATTGCCCTGACGGGGCCACTAGACTACGAGCAGCGCAGCCACTACAGCCTCACACTGCGAGCCTCTGACAGCCGCCACGAGACCGAGGCCAACCTCACCGTCATCGTGGAGGACATGAATGACAACGCACCAGCCTTCAGCCAGGCCTTCTACCAGGTACTGCCTGCACTCGCTCATGTGTGTAGCAGACAATGCTGGCTGACCTGCACAAGCCTCGCTGCTGCCCTTGTGCCCTGCCTGGCTCTCTTGGCCTTATGGGGCACAGAGACTGCTTTGAGGATGGATTTGAGCCTATCCTGGTCCCTGTCCTTCTGGGCCACATCCCAGCACTCCTGCTGTCACTGCAGTCAGAAGGCTGAAACCAAGCAGACAGCACTAGGATCAGCAGAGAAAAAGATCAATATCTGGATGCTCTCGTAGCTCAGAAGTCGCACAGAGGCTGCATGCTATGCATGTGGGACAGTTGCCTACAGGTTCCACCCATGGCCTTGGTGCAGAGGTGGGGAAGGCTAGCATTGCACTGGGTTACTCTGGTCATGGCTGCCCTAGCCAGCTCCAGGCTTTCTCCCATCCCTGCTGGCCAGCTCCAGGAGATTGGGGACAGTGCCCACATGAAGACCTGGTGCTGATCAGAGCTTCCTCCTCTTCCAGGTGACACTGCCAGAACACACTCCTGCAGGGAGCATCCTTCTCACCATGAGCGCCACTGACATGGACTCAGGCAGCAATGGGGAGATCACCTTCCACCTGGCCGTGCCCAGCCTTGACGTTGCAATTGACCCCAGCAATGGTGCGTGGGACTGGCTGCTCTGGGGGGGCTCACACTGTGGTTTGCTACAGCAGCTCCTGCAGAGGAAGGGGCCCTCATGCTCCCCCCTCACCAGGCCTGCAGTGGCTAGGGAGGCAGACGTGGGGGTGTGGCCACCACACCCCACCACCAAAGCATCCTGCATGCCTGTCCCTCCAGCCAATAACCCTAACCACCCTAACACCCTGCCCAGCTCCCTGCTGACCCATTATGCTGACTCTGTCTTTGTGCCCTCACAGGGACCCTGTTCACCATCCGACCAGTGGAATTTGATGCCAACCAGCCCACCCTGGAATTGGTGGTGGAGGCCCGTGACCACGGCTCCCCCAGCCTCTCATCTTGGGCCACGGTTCAGCTTCAGGTGCTTGATGTGAATGACCACAGCCCCATCTTCCAGGTGCCACACTACAATGCCAGCGTCCCTGAGGACCTGCGGCCAGGAACCACTGTGCTGATGCTGGATGCAGGCGATGCTGACCTCTCCCGAGAGAACGCTGGCTTCGACTACACCATTGTCAGTGGAAACGGTGGCAATGCCTTCCAGGTGGAGAGCCGGGTGGCCTGGGCAGGTGGGCAGCTACGCACACAGGGTGCGTTGGTGCTTGTGGAGCCCTTAGATTTCGAAGCCATCCCAGTCTACAATCTCACTGTGGCTGCCTTGGACCGGGGCCTGCCTCAGCGTAGCACCACGGTGCCTGTGCTCATCACCGTGCAGGACGTCAATGACAACCCGCCTGTGTTCGCCCGAGCCGAATACCGCACAGCAGTGAGCGAGAGCGCACCTCCTGGCACAGAGCTGCTCCGTGTGACAGCCCACGATGCCGACTCAGGGCCCCGCGGCCATGTTCACTACACCATCAGCTCGGGTGATCAGCACGGGCTCTTCCACATCCACGAGAGCACAGGTGCCCTGTGCCTGGCACGGCCCCTGGACCGGGAGACACAGGCATTACATGCTCTTGTGGTGCAGGCCATGGATGTGCCAGGCGGGCACTTTGCTCTGGTGCCTGTAGCCATTGAGGTGAAGGATGTCAATGACAACAAGCCATACTTCCCAGTGGAGGTGCTGAGTGCCAGCATGCGGGAGAACCTGCCTCCGGGCACACTTGTGACTACCCTGCGTGCTATCGACACCGACACCGGGGTGTTTGGGGAGCTGCAGTACACAGTACTGGAGCAGCCAGTGGGGGGGCCTGGTGTGGCAGAGGGCCGGGATGCCTTTGCCATCAACAGCAGCTCTGGGGAGCTGCGTTCCCGGCTCACCTTTGACTATGAGCGAGCCAAAGCCTTCCAGCTCCTCGTCAGGGCCACGGATGCCGGCAATGCCTCTGCTACAGTGACCGTGCGGGTGCTGGTGACCGGGGAGGATGAGTACGATCCCATCTTCCTGAGCCCCTCCTTCAGCTTTGAGGTCCCTGAGGGTGCCCACAAAGGGCAGAGCATTGGGAGGGTCCTGGCAACAGATGAGGACGAGGGGGCTGACGGTGTTGTGCTGTACAACCTGGCCAAGCCCTCGCCGTACTTTGCCATCAACCAAACTACAGGCACCATCTACCTGCGGGTGGACAGCCAGCCCCAGGCCGGGGCCGGGCGCACCAAGAGGGAGCCCCGTGAGATGAGCCTTGAGGTGCAGGCGCGCAGCCCGCTGCCAGCCTCCCGCTCAGCCTCTGCACAGGTCACCATCGACATCACGCACACCTCCTTCGGCCTGGCTCCGGATCTCAATCTGTTGCTGGTGGCCGTGGCCGCCTCGCTGGGTGTCGTGGTAGTGCTGGCTGCTGTGGCCATCGTGCTGGCGCTGGTCCGCTCCCGTCACCGCCGGAGCCACGAGAAGACAGAGGGGGACCGGCCGCTGGCCCACGTACAAAGCAGTTCTCTGCAAAAGCTGGGTCACGAAGAGCCGGCACTCCCCGGGGCTGAGCACATCTACCACCAAGCACTGCCAGGGTATGGGGGGGAGCCAGCGGGGCCCTACACGCGGGGCGGCTCCCTGGACCCCTCGCACTCCAGTGGCAGAGGCTCTGCTGAGGCAGCTGAGGACGACGAGATCCGGATGATCAATGAGTACCCACGCGTGGCCAGCATCACAGCATCCATGCAGGAGCACATTTCGGCCCGCGGCCCCGACTCCGGCATCCAGCAGGATGCCGACCAGCTGTCCGACATCTCCTGTGAGCCAGCCGCCCTGGAGAGCTCCCAGTGGTTCAAGAGCAAGAAGGGCTCTGGGCTGCTGCTCCCAGGGCCCACATCGCAGCTGTACCGCGAGGATGGGGGAGGCAGCGCCTTTCTTGGCGTGCGCTGCGGCCTCAGCGTCTCCTCCCAGCCCCAGGACTACACCTTCCCAGAGGATGGCAAGCCCTCTGTGGAAGGCTCTCTCACCGCCATCGTGGCCAGTGACGAGGAGCTCCGTGGCAGCTACAATTGGGATTACCTGCTGAACTGGTGCCCCCAGTTCCAGCCGCTGGCCAGCGTCTTCACAGAGATCGCCCGTCTCAAGGATGAGAGCTCCCTGCGCAAGCCCTTCCCGACCAAGCCCAAGGCAGAGCCCAAGCCCCGCATCGACCCCCCACCCCTCATCACCTCTGTGGCCCACCCAGGCGCCAAGTCCGTGCCCCCCAAGCCGCCAGCAGGCAGGACCTTCCCGCACCCATCGTCGCTGCGTCGCTCGCCCATCAGCCATGAGGGCTCCATCTCGTCCTCCGCCATGTCACCCAGTTTCTCCCCCTCGCTGTCCCCGCTGGCCGCCCGCTCCCCTGTGGTCTCTCCCTTTGGCATCTCACAGGGGCCCTCTGCCTCCACCATCAGCGCCGAGCACTCACTGGAGCCCTCTGAGGAGGCCGAGCTCAGGATTTAGGCCTGGGCCCACGGACTTCCCCGCCCTCCCCGGCAGACACGGGGTAAAGAGCGGGGCCAGGCCGAGGGCTGCTCGGCACGGTACTGGTTTGGCTTTCCCAGCACCTTGCCCATTCCAGGGCCCCACGTGCTGTGGGTTCCCATGTGCTTTGGGACTGCTGACTCTTGTCACTCTCTGTGGTCTGGCAGATTCAATGCTCGTTTTGGTGCCCTGTGGACTGCTGAGCCCAGTGCCAGCACCCTAAGGCATGGTTCCTTGTACTGCTCGTGGTGTCCCAGCGCCCAGCATGCTGCTGCTTTGTGGTACTCCGTGCTCTAAGAGGGGCTGGGAGCAGAGCAGTTCTCTCTGCCCTGCTGGGTCAGAGCGCTGCCACCTGCAGCCTTTGCTCTATCCCGGCCACCTGCCCGAGCCAGGTGCAGCAGCCCAGATGCAGTGAGGGGCTGTCCCATCCCTTCTGGCCCTATCCCCATGGGAGCTCACAGGGCCAGGGTCTCACTGCTCAGCTGGTGCAGCTGCAGCAGCCCGCAAGTCTGCAGGAAGCAGTGTGGGTGACCCTGCTTGCCGATGGTCTGAAACACATCCCAGGCCTAGCTGGACAGGGAGCAAGAGGCAGTGCCCATTATCTGCTTGCCTGTCCATGGCTGGTGGGGGGAAAGGGATCTGTTAGGGTCCCAGAGGGCCCTTCACCTCCCATCACTGCATCTGCCCCACCTAAGGGCTCACTATCCCAGGGCTGAGGGCCTTGGGACATGGCTGCATGGCTGCCCTCTGGGGCTGCAGGCTGGCATCGGGCACAGGCACTGTCCACTTACCAGGCTGGCAGCAATGCTAGCAGGAGAAGCAGTGCCAGAACTGCATTAGCCGACCCCAGGATGGCCTGGCCTCGAGAAAGACACCAGCACAGCTGCTCTGTGACCTCCTCTCACTCTGTCTGCCCCTGGCCTGGTGGCCAGCCTGCAGCTGCAGGGGAGCATGGGTGGCCATGTGGCCTGAGGCTGATGCAGTGGCAGCCAACCTGTTGTCCTGATACAGTGTGGGATGCGGGCAGCAGGGCTCCCCAGGAGCCTGCTGTGCTCACCAGGATGAGCTGGGACACGAGGGCCACCTCCACAGCACGGGTGACTGCCAGAATCCCCAGCCCCTGTGCCCAGCTGTGTGTGCAGCAGCTGCTCCCTGCACTTCTCCCTCATGTCACACTGTGGGAATAGGCAGAGCCACACATCCTTGGGGCTGGTCCCCATTCTCATACCAGCAGTTTGCAGCTGGTGTCAGTTCACAGCTGGTATGAGCTCACAATTGGTGTCAGCCCTCATGCAGCGCTCACCTCGGTTCGCAGCACATGGCACGGCCCTGCGAGTGCTGTCCTTGTGCCAGGCGCTGCAGCCCTGGGTGCTCAGGGTGCTGTGACCCATACACAGTTACAGGTGCAGAGCGAGGATCAGGAGCCGAGCACGCGAGCCATGGCAGCCCCAAATGCACAGCCTGGGAGGACACCCAGCTGTCTGAGAAGGGGATCTGGGGCTGCTTTCAGAATTTTGGAATTTCCTTCCTATCACACTTCTAGAGCCACTCCATAGCCTCAAATGCAAAGCCTGTGTGCACCATTGGCTGCACCCTCATTGGTCACCCCAGCCCCGAGTATTTATCACAGCAGCCAAAAACCACCACTTTTGCCCACTGCCCCTGTGCATCCCACTGAGAACCACCTGTGCCTGCAGCCCCATCTCTGCACACCATAGGTCTCAGAATAGCCCTGCACCCCAGCACCACGCTGCCCCCAGACCCCATGACCCCATGGTGCCCACAAGTCCCCAGTGCTGGCAGCCCTGAGAGCTGCCCTGGCTGACAACAGAGGGCCAGAATCAGGTGGGACTGGGGAGGCCATGGGGCCATGCCTGAGGCCCATGGGGAGCTGAGGTGGCTCTGGGAGGAGAGGATGTGTTCCACCTTGCTTGGCACAAGGATGGTCCAGAGGCACCCTGAGGGGCTGCGTGAACCCTGTGCAGTGCCGGGGTGGCTGAGCAGCCCCACTCCTCTCTGCATGTTGGGATGGGTCACCCCTGCATGCCACATAGGGAAGGGTCAGACACGTGGCCCCACTTTGGTGTGGGAGTTCCAGCCATGTGCTGCTGAGCCCGGCCAGGAGCCAAGCCTCCAGTTATTTATTTTTTACACATTGTACTATGATTCCTGTTTTCTACTTTGTTTGTACTTTTGTATCGTGTCTCGCTGAGCTGCATGTATTGGGCGCTGCTTGTCGGCCCGCACACTGGGCTGCTCCAGCACAGCCTGGACCCAAGTGCCAACTTCTCAAAGAAATGCCTTAATAAACCACACTTGTTTGTACAGAGCTCAACTTAGAGAATCATAGAATCCTTAGAGTTGAAAGAGACCTTTAAAGGTCATCCAGTCCAACTCTCCTGCAATGAATGGGGACGTCCACAGCTACATCAGGTTGCTCAGGGCCTGATGCAGCCTCGATCAGCATCATCACTGCTGCTGTGGGTGCATGCCATGCTGGCACTGTGGCCCTACGGGTGCTGTGGAGAAGCACTGTCAGGGCTGGTGGATGGGAGGCAGCACTGGGGAACCCAGCACCATAAAGCTGTGGACCTGTCACCGGAATCATGTGGCAGAGCTGGAACTGCTTTGGGCACAGAGGCTGCCTAGTGCTGCTTTCTGTCCCCTGCTGCCCCGCCCAGCTGCCTCCTGGCTTGACCAACAAAGGACATGCAGCAATTTCAGACTTGAGCACAACAGAGGATGCAGAGAGATTACACACACACTATGGGCCTGGTCTGGATGCCCAGCTTCTCCAGCAAGGTGTGTTGCAGCTATGCCTGCCCCTGCATTGCTGCACACATGCAGGCACAGCTGCTGCCCTCACCAAGATGCCTGCATCTGCATGCATAGCCACACTGGGCACATCTCTCCTCGTGGCTGCACCATGCACATCTCCTCTCAGTGACTGCAGGTTTTTCTCTTAGTGGCTGCCAAGCCTGGCAGGCGAGGCTGCACAGCTCCATGCATCCAGGTCGTGTTGTCCAAAAAACAGCTTCATTGCCCCGTGTGCACAATCCATGATCATACAGTGAGAGCAGACATCATTTGTTTATTTCAGGATTGCCCAAGCCTGGCTGTGCAGTGGTTTCCCACAAACCCAGCACACCAAATGGAACTATCAGTGCTATATTTATACACAAAAGACACGGAGTTGGTAACTTTTCCAGCCTATCCTCCTGGCGATGAGTGGTCAGTGATTTACATACAGTTATAACAATGCTGACTCTGTACTTCCACTATTAAATCCCTCAGGGGAGGGGTCTTCACTTGGTCAGGAATCTTTTTCACCTGTGGGTGTGATTTTCAGTATTATAATGAAGGTAGTTCAGCTATGGACCCAACATACGGACCCTGAGGCACAGCCCCAGTCCAGCTGGCATTTGGATACAGTTCTCCTACACGGGCACACACAGGCACCCCTGGGGGCCTCAGCTGCCCCAGACTCTGTGCTCTCTGGCCTGCCCTGCTCCCTCCCTGCTGCAGCCACCCCCAGGCTCACACAGCACAGCTCCCAGGGCACTCTGCCCATCACCCAGCCCAGAATAAGCCTGCCGGGAAGGACGTGCACCTTCCCGGCATCCACCTGCTAGGAGGCTGGTACTGCGGGCCCTGGGACATGTGATCCAACTGTAGCTGCTGACACAGCTTCCAAAGACAACAGAATAGAGCCCAAGAAAATACTTTGCAGTGGGGTTTAAGAAGCAGCCAGGGCAGGCTGTGCTGTTGCCCAGTGAAGGCAAACAAATGTGCCAACCATCAACCCATTTACAACTGCTTTTACTCCTTTTCCTTGTTTTCACACCTTTTTCCCCTCTCCAAAGTGCACTGATCCCTCTCTTTTCTCACATCCCATAAGAAGTCTTGTATGACCCTAAAACACCATGTTCTGCCTCTCAGGGCGTGCCCTGCATGCCAGGCAGTACGTGTAGTTGTTTATCAGGAGAACCACACCTGCACTCATGTTGGCGGGTGCCACCCCCAGCTGTGTTGCGATCGCTGCTGTCACAGCCCTGAGCAGATGCAGCCCCTCTGCGCGGGCTATCAGGGCTCCCTGCCTGCCGCCGCTCCCCGTGCCGCTTTAATCACACAACCCAGCGCCTCCATCTCCCTGACGTTATAAACGCAATGCCAGGGCTGGGGCTGAGGCTGACTCTGAATGTTCTCCAGCATTGCCCAATTACAGGCAATCTTGACCAGCTTCACTGATAGGAACGGCACCTATGGCACACTGGGGGCGGGCACGGCCTCACCTGGGGCATCCTGGCAGCTCCGCTGGCTGCTCCGGTTCTCCCATCCCAGCCTGCTGTGGCCCTAACAGCAGATGCTTGTTAGAGTAATTAGCTCTGCCAGAACAGCCTAATCTTTGCTGGCCAGACAGCTCCAGGAAATAATCTCCCGCAAATCTCATCCCACTTACAGCCCTGCCCCGAGCTGACGGTCGGTTGGGCTGCAGCACTTCGTGTCAGCGCCGAGCAGCAGCACTGAGCAGACCACGTCCCTTCCCTGCAGCTGCAGCCCTCGGTTGGGGCCACGCAGCCCGGGGGGCCGGGAGCCAGCAGGGCACTGGGCCACACGTGGGCGAGGGGAAGGGTGAGCCAGGATGGGGCTGGGCACAGGGCAGATGCTGTGCAGCAGGGAGCAGGACAAGGGAGTGTTATAGCTGGGAGCAGCCAGACATGGCCTGGCACAGGGATCGTGGTCTGCTGCACATCCCCGAATGCCTCGAGCATACATGGGGCCACCTCCCTCCAGGACACCCCTTCACACAGTGACAGCAGCTTTCAGCCCAGGTGGGCGGCTGTCCTACATGGTTCAGAAGCTTTTCCACAACACCGAAGAGAGCTCTTTCCATGGACAAGGCTGGGAGATGGGGCTCAGCGGAATCCTTGATCCCTCCCTGCCGTGTCCCCTCAAAGCTGCACCCACCACGCCCAGACCCTTCCTGTCCCACTACCCCCTGCTTTTCCCCCCAACCCCACAGGGTGCAACTGCAGTTTTGGGCGGGCAACCAACTCCAGCTGCTGCAAACCACACTGTGCTGCCTGCATGGAAACTCTGAGTGGCCCCACATGTGTTTCCAATTGCAGGCACCAGAAATGCCCGAGGGCTCTGAACAGACACTCACGCTATGGGCAACACCCAAAGAGGAGCACTGGTGTCCTGCAGAAAATGGGTATGAAGCAGTGGATTCCAACAGGACAGGAGAGGTCCTCCAGATGGCGGGGGAAGCACCTCAGAGGCCAAACAGGGGCTGAGGAATGTGGGTGGATTTCCCGTGTCAATGAGATGCTGAATGCTGTTCTGTGAACAGGAAGGGCTGCGCTTCAGCCCCATTGACTCCTTTAGCAGCCTTGCCTCACCCAAAGGGAGCAGAGCCAAGGCCAGCCTAGGAGTGTGGCACCCTGAGCTGCACAGCTGATGTGGCTGGAATGGCACTGCCTGCATAACAGGGCTGAGGGCAGGAGGCAGAAAGGTGAGACTGCCGCAGACCTTTGCTCCTCCTGCCCCAGACTCAGCTCCACCGCTCCAGCAGTGCCCCAAGTCGCTCTCAGCACGAGTGCTTCTGCATTCTGCAGCTGCTGCTCTGGACGGCCACACTGTGGCTCCAGCGTGGGAGAGATGGCAGCCCAGCCCAGGCAGGTGGTTTTCCCATTGTCCATCTCCTTCTGGCTTGGACACTGCTCTGCAGAAGCAGGAAACGAAGGAGGAGTTCCTGGAGCTGCTGCAAAAAGCACATCTGCACTTGTGGCTGGGACAAGGACTCATTGATCCATACCAAGGTGGCAGGTGGGGTTACAGCACCCTCACCTCCTGTCTGCCTCTGAGGGCTGCCCGTGGGCTCAGGTGCAGGGTAACAAACTCCACAGCACCATCTCCAGAGCTCCCTTCAGCAGTAGCAAAAAGTACCTGAATTTTCCATGGTCCCAAGATCCACAAGTATTACGATCCTGCTTTTGTGATACTAATCAGGATGGCTCCTAGTGTGGGAATATCCAAGAGAACAAGCCCAGGAAAACAAGAGCTGATGCTCAGCAGTACTGAGAGCCAAACAGCTGCAGTGACAGCACCAGCTGGACAGGACACGATGAACCGCTTGGCGGCAAGGCTAAGACTCCTGCTGCCCCTCCCACAGCCCTGTGAGAGCGCTGCTCCATCCCCGCCCTCCCTGCACTGCCCGGGGCACCCCACGCCTGCAGCTCCCCGGGGCCCTGCGGGTGGTGGCAGCAGTGCTGGGGCGGCTGCGCCCCCGGCTGTACGGTACGCAAATGTGCTCCACGCCTCCCGGCTCCTGCTGGACAGCCGGGCGATGCTCAGAACTCCGCAGAGCGCCCTGGATACGCGCCCTGCAGCCCGCAGCCCGCCCATCCGGTTCCGGCCCTTCACTGCAGGGTGGGCACTGAGCAGCAGACCCCGCGGGCAGCCTTTACCTTCCGCTCCCCTCACCGCAGTGCGGTTCCTGCAGGCACAGCCCCCCCGGATGGGGCCCTCCAGCCCTGCGCTGCCGTCCCTGCCGGGTGGTTGCCAGACACGGAGCCCTCGGCCCCCTCAGGTTCCCCCCAGCCCCATTCGAGCGCTGCCTCAGGGCAACCTCTTGGCCAGCCCGCCCCACGGGGCCCTCGCACGGCCATAACGGCGGCGACCCACGCAAGGAGAGGGACGGACCGGGCGGCGCTCCGGCACCGCCATCACAGCCCGCCCCGACCCGCGCAAAGCCGCGCCCCGCTGGTGGGGACGGGGCCACCCGTCACGTGACCGCAGCTTCCTCACGTGACCGGGACTCATGCGCCCCATCACGTGACCGAGCACAGTGGCGGGATGGCGCGAGGGTAATGGGGGCGCGGGGCTGGGATGGGGGGGAGGAGGCGGACCGCCGGTCCCCGCTCGGCCCCGCTCAGTCTTGCTGCCCTCTGCCCACCGCAGGTGCCGGGCGATCCCCGCCGTGCTGACGCTCTGTGCGGCCGCCTGGAGCTGCTGCGCCGCGGGTCGGGCGCTGGAGCGGGACCAGCCGTTCCGGTAGGTGCCGTTCTGTGCGCTGCGGGATGGCGCGGTGCCCCCGCGCTGCCCGCCCCGCTCACGGTCCGCCCGCAGCCCTCCGCCCGGATGGGTCCTCGCCGGCCGCGTGAGCCCCGAGCACGGCGTGCAGCTGACCGTGGCGCTCCGGCAGCGCGGCACCGAGCGCCTGGCCCGCCTCGTCCGCGCCGTGTCCGAGCCGCGCTCCCCGCAATACGGTAACGACTGGACCTGCCGGCCCGGCCCCGCCGCGCTCCGGGCCGCGCGTTGACCCGCTGTGCCCACAGGCAAATATCTGACCGTGGAGCAGCTGCGGGACCTCGTGCGGCCCTCCCCGGCCACGCTGGTGACCGTGCTGAAGTGGCTGCGGGGCCACGGCGTCGAGGACTGCCGCAGCGTCGCCACTCTGGACTTCCTGGAGTGCAGCATGCCGGCGAGGTGAGCGCTGTGCCGGACGCGGCCCTCTGTTGAGCAATAGGAGATGGGGGCTGAGCCCTGTGCCCTCCTGGCTGATGGGGCTCCGTGGCCCAGAGCTGGCTGCTCTGTGCAGCCCCGGCGCTGGAGTAGCCACAGCCTGCTGGCCCAGAGTGTATGTGAGATAGACAGGCGTGCATGTGAGACAGACAAGTGCTTGGGCTGCCCCACGCCTCCTTGTGCCCTCTTGGAGCCACAGTTGTCCCCACAGGAGGGTTGGGATGAGCTGCAGTTGGCTTCTGTGGTGCTCAGCCCAGGTATAGAGGGCACTCTGCTTCACAGAGACTGTGTGGGTAGGAAGAGGCACTCATCCCTGGCTCCGTGAGCAGGGTGTGGGCTGGATTGGGCTGTGCTGTATGTGAGTCCCTGTGTGAGCTGTCCTTGTGTTGCAGCACGGCTGAGCGCCTCCTGCCCGGAGCTGAGTTCCACCGCTACGTGAAGGGCCAGCGCAGCGTCATCCGCTCCCCGCAGCCCTACAGCGTTCCTGAGGAGCTGGCAGAGCACATCGACTTTGGTATGTGCAGGGGCATTGGGCTGCTCAGAGATGCAGGTGGGAGGCTGAGCACTGCTGGCTCGGATGGTGCTACCACAGTGCATGGAGCACAGTGGTTCTCTGGCTGTGTCCCGGCTGCCCCGTGCCCCCCGAGGAGGCGAGCGGTGATCTCAGTGCTTCCTATGGCTTTCCTGGCACTGGGTACTCAGTGCTGGCTGTGCAGGTGTCTATCTGTGGCTGTGCAGGTGTCTGATTGTGCCACTGCCTCTGAAGGGTTGAAGCTCCTCCCATGAGGAAGCCGTGGCACTGCAGTCATAGGCACAAGGAGAACACAGTGTGCTGGGCAGTGGTGGCTGCTCAGCAGTGGGGTAATGGCAGCCCAGGAGGACACAGAGTGCAGTGTGCTGTGGGTGCTCCCTGTGCCCTGCTTCCAGCCAGGGTGAGGAGGGGGAGCAGGGCTGTGTCTTGCCAGAGCATGGGACCCTGGCACCTTCTCTTTGTTTGTGGACCAGTGGGGGGCCTGCACCGGTTCCCCGCGGAGAGGAGTGTGGTCAGCAGAGCCTGGGCCAAGGAGGGGATGGAGTCCCATGGGCAGAGAGCAGCCTTCCACCTGGGTGTGATGCCATCAGTCATTCGGAAGCGATACAACATGACAAAAGGAGACATTGGACTGCTGCCCAACAACAGCCAGGCCTGTGCCCAGGTACTTCCCAGTGCTGAGGGGGAGCAGCTTGCAGCCCAGAGCTGGGGCACCACTCCAATGGTCCCAGAGTGCTGCGGGAGAGTTCATCAGCTGCTGAGAGCTGTTGCCAATGTTCCACGAGAATATTGAGCTGACTTCCCAGGTCTGGAGAAAGAACTTTGTGTCCTTCTATGTCCCCTCAGTTCCTGGAGCAGTACTTCCACCAGGCTGACCTGGCTGTGTTCATGAAGCTCTTTGGCAGCAGCTTTGCCCACCACACAGAGGTCGACCGTGTGGTTGGGCACCAGGGCCAGGGCAGGGCTGGGCTGGAGGCCAGCCTGGATGTGGAGTACATCATGAGCACGGGCGCCAACATCTCCACGTGGGTCTTCAGCAATGCAGGTACTCCTCCCCTGCCAGAGCCCACTTTGCCCTCTGTCTGCTTCCACCTGTCCTACTCAATCTAGCACTGACACATTAGCTCAGGGAAGGACTCGTGAATCTGCCAGGGGTGTGAGATGGGCTACACACAGTCCAGCTGGTGTCAGTTGCACCTCGTGGTACCTCACAGGGGCTTTGGGACTGTGGTTTCCCAGCTGCTTTGGGGACATATTTTGTGGGCTTCCAGCACGGGAGCCACTGTGGGTCTCTGACAGCTCTTAGGGGAGGTGTCATCATTGGTTTTGGATATGTGAATTTGCACCATCCACAGCACCCTGCAGCATTGCTCACCCTGCCCTCGCTTTGCCATGTGAGGCAGTCACCTCACTCCTCTGCCTTTCCATGGAGAGCTGACCTGACCATGAATCTGCCATAGGGTGGATGAAGGGCAGTTTGAGGAAAGCAGGTTGCAAACCAGTCTGCACCGAGATGTGCTGGTGCTGTGGAACAGTGTGTCCATATTAGAGGATGGCCAGGGGCTGAGTGCACCGGGACTGTTGGCTCTGTCCTGCCGGTGATGTCTGTTGGTGCACAAAGCCCTCTGTGGGCTTCTTCCTCTTCTGTGCTGCCTGCAGTGCGGGAAGGGGACAGAGAGACTCTCTGAGCAGCTGCAAGGCAGCAGGGTGGCCAGGACCCTCTGCTCTGTATTCACAGAGTGGGGAGATGGACAGGAGGTGCTGAGTGCAGCCTATCCACTAGAGCTGTGGGAAGCCAGAGCTGTTCCTCCATGCTGCTCTCAGCTGCACTGCTCCCAGGAATTCATGGCAGCATCCAATTGAGTTATTCTGCACTCTACAGGCAGGGACAGAAGGAGGCAGAGCTTCTGCTGCGGGGGGGCAAGTGACCCCAATCCCCCCTGAAGCAGCGCCTTTGTGCCTGCAGGGCGGCACGAGAGCCAGGAGCCCTTTCTGGCGTGGCTGCTGCTGCTCAGCAACATGTCGGCGCTGCCATGGGTGCACTCGGTCAGCTACGGGGACGACGAGGACAGCCTCTCGCAGGTCTACCTGCAGCGGGTCAACGTGGAATTCATGAAGGCGGCCGCCCGCGGCCTCACGGTGCTCTTTGCTTCGGGTGCGTGAGCTGCTGGGCTGGGAGCGTCCGGCCGCCCAGCGCTGCGAGTGCCGCCCCTCACACGTGGCCGCCCTCAGGTGACGACGGTGCCGGCTGCAGGAGGGTGCCGGGGGGGAACCACACGTTCCGGCCCAGCTTCCCAGCCTCCAGGTAACGGCGGGGCGGCCCCCGGGCTCCTCTCTGCTGCCGGGATTGGGGGCACTGCGGGGTCGGCTTTGGGGAAGCCGCAGCGTCCGCCCGTCCTCAGCCCCTACGTGACCACCGTCGGCGGCACATCTTTCAAGAACCCGTTCCTGGTGACGACAGAAGTGACGGATTACATCAGCGGCGGCGGCTTCAGCAACGTCTTCCCGATGCCCGACTACCAGGTGCGGCGGGGAGCGCGGGGCCGCCCGGTGCCGAGCGGTGCCGGGGCTGAACCGGGCGGAACTGTCCCCAGGTCGATGCCGTGCGGAGCTTCCTGCGCTCTGCCCCGAAGCTGCCCCCCAGCTCCTACTACAACAGCAGCGGCCGCGCCTATCCCGATCTGGCCGCGCTGTCGGACAACTACTGGGTGGTGACCAACCGGCTGCCGCTGCCCTGGGTGTCGGGCACTTCGGTGAGCACGGGGCCGTCGGGTCGCGGTGCGGGGCCGCGCTCCGCCGGGTGCTGAGGCGTTTCCCCTTCCCAGGCCTCGACGCCGGTGGTGGCGGGGATGCTGGCGCTCGTCAACGACCGCCGCCTGCAGCTGGGCCAGCCGCCGCTCGGCTTCCTGAACCCCGCGCTGTACCGCCTGCGGGAGCGCGGCCACGGCGGAGCGCTGTTCGACGTGAGCGGGGCGGGGAGCTGCGGGATGCGGTCGGAGTGCCGCTGCGCGGGGAGGGGCGGGGGGAGCTCCTTACACCCGGGAGCGCATCGGGGGGGGGTGGGACGGGGTCACGCCGTGGGGGCTCCGCCGGGATGCCGCGTGTCCCCGCGGGGTCCCCACGCTATCCGTTCCGCAGGTGACGCAGGGCTGCCACCTCTCCTGCCTGGACGGCACGGTTCAAGGCCAAGGCTTCTGCGCCGGCCCCGCGTGGGACGCGGTGACGGGTTGGGGGACACCCAACTTCCCGCTGCTGCTGCGCGCGTTGACGGCGCCGTGACGCCAATAAAGGCCGCGGCGCGGCGCCCCCTGCTGTGCTGTGCTGGTATCGCGCGGGAGAGCGGCGCCGCCGGGCGGCCAATGGGGCGCGGCGGGGGGCGGGGCAGATCGGGCCGCGGGGCCAATCGGGCGACGCGCCGGGCGCACGCGCCTCGCAGGACCGTCCGGAGCCGTTCGGCGGGTGGGCGATGAGCTGCAGCTCCGAGGCCGATCCCGCGCCCGCGGTCCCCGCCGCCCCCGCGCCGCCTGGCCCCGCGCCCGCGCCCACCGCCGACAACAAACCCAGCCCGGCCGCCGGCGGAAGTGGCGTCCCCGGGGCGCCTCCGAGCGCGGCGGGCGGCGCTGCGCGGGGAGCCGAGGGCGGAGCGGCCGCCGGGAGGGGACCCGGTGAGTGCGGGGGGGCGGCCGGGAGCGCGCGGCGGTGCGGAGCGGGGCGGCCCCGCTGAGCGTCTCTGCCCGCAGCGCCCGTCTCGGCCGCGGCGCCGCCCGAAGGAGCGATGTCGAACGGCGTGTACGTGCCGCCCGGAGCCGCCAACGGAGAGGTGAAGCCGGTGGTGTCCGGCACGCCGCTCGTGGACTTCCTGCTGCAGCTGGAGGATTACACGCCCACGGTACGCGCGGCGCGGGGCGGGCGCTGCGGGCGGGCGGGCACTGAGCGCGGCTCTCCCCGCAGATCCCGGACGCCGTCACCGGGTATTACCTGAACAGAGCGGGATTCGAGGCCTCCGACCCGCGCATGTGAGTGCCAGGGGCGGCCGGGGGGCCCCGCGGACATCCCCCGGTCCTGGCGCCGTGCCCCCCCCGACGCGTCCCCTCTGTGCCCGCAGCATCCGCCTGATCTCGTTGGCCGCGCAGAAATTCATCTCTGATATCGCCAACGATGCGCTGCAGCATTGCAAGATGAAGGGAACGGCCTCGGGGAGCTCCCGCAATAAGAGCAAGGTGGGCGGGGGGGCCTGGAGGTGAACATGGGGTGAGTGCTGAGGGACGGCACCGCCAGTCGTTGTGCCACTGAGTCGTGGGGTCACAGAATCACAGAATGGCCTGGGTTGCAAAGGAGCACGATGCTCATCCAGTTCCAACCCCGTGCTGTGTGCAGGTCGCCAACCAGCAGCCCAGGCTGCCCAGAGCCACATCCAGCCTGGCCTTGAATGCCTGCAGGGATGGGGCATCCACAACCTCCTTGGTCAACCTGTTCCGCTGCCTCACCACCCTCTGGCTGAAAAACTTCCTCCTCATATCCAACCTAAACCTCCCCTGTCTCACTTTAAAACCATTCCCCCTTGTCCTATCACCATCCACCCTCACAAACAGCCGTTCCCCCTCCTGTTTATCCACTCCCTTCAAGTACTGGAAGGCTACAATGAGGTCTCCCCACAGCCTTCTCTTCTCCAAGCCAAACAAGCCCAGTTCTCCCAACCTTTCCTCACAGGAGAGCTGCTCCAGCCCTCTGACCATCTCAGTGCCCTCCTCTGGACCCGCTCCAAGAGCTCCACGTCCTTCCTGTGCTGGGTTTCCCAGGCCTGGACGCAGCACTGGGGCCTCACAAGAGCTGAGTAGAGGGGGACAATCACCTCCCTGTCCCTGCTGGCCACCCCTTTTTCATGCAGCCCAGAACACAGTTGGCCTTCCGGGCTGCAGGCTCACACCGCTGGCTCGTGCCCAGCTTCTCATCCACCAGGACTCCCAAGTCCTCCTCTGCAGGGCAGCTCTCCAGGAGATCTTCCCCCAGTCCGTATCAATACCTGGCATTGCCCCAACCCGATGCAGCACCTTGCACTTCGCCTTGTTGAACCTCATGGTTCAATGTGAAAGGCTGATATGTACTGACAAAAAGGGGCTTTGCTGCTGGGAGGGAACGTGGTGGGCAGAAGGTGGGCAGAAGGTGGGCAGTGGTGTGTATGGAGATACTGAAGCCCTGCTGCTCCCACTGATGAGCACCAAAATGGAATGCTGAGGGAAAAAGATAAAGGGAGGAAGTGTATATAAATAGTTTCTGGGAATCCACACAGCCACTATTTGTGGTTTAGGGGCAATGAAATTAAGTGTTGAGTAATGCTCAGTGCATTTCTCTGCAGCTGAGGGCAAAGAGCAGATGCAGTTTTCAGGCCCTCAGTGATGGTCAGTGCCCCAACCATTGGCCTCCAGCTGTTCTGGAAAGTGTACACACACAGCTGGGGTAAAAACCCTAAAGCAGCAAAGGGCTGAAGGCATGAGGTGTCTGTGCTGTGAGTGATGCTGCCCTTTGTCCCCAGGATAAGAAGTACACGCTGACCATGGAGGACCTGACGCCCGCCCTTGCAGAGTACGGCATCAACGTGAAAAAGCCGCACTACTTTACGTGAAGACAGGGGTTGTTGCTGGGAACTTTTTTAGGGTTTGCTTCTGCACCATTAAACCACTGGGTAGTTTTGGGTTTTTTTTGTGAAAAGACCCCCTGTTTCCTGCTCACATGCCTGCTGTTAGTGAAGCAGCATCATTTGGCCCCCGGAGTTCTGCTCTCCCAGCACCACCAGAAGGCGATGGCTGCTGGCTGTGCAGCAGGGGAACTGCAGCCACGTCTCTCCTGGAGGGCTCAGCCTGCCCTGAGCTGCTGCAGGGATGCAGGCACCATGCAAATAGAAGTGCCCAACCTTCCTCTTTGCTTTTTTCTCCATAGCACGTCTCTTGTTTCTTAAGAGGAAGGTTCTGGGGGCTGTGTGACAGCTATGGCTACTGCAGCTGCACCCAGGCTCCTCTCATTGGGGTGTGATGCCAGCCCTGCTGCCTGCCTTGCCCCGGGCAGCAGAGGGGGTCTGGCACAGAGCAGCTCCAGTGCCCAGGGCTCAATGTTCTGCAGGGCAGCCCGGTGCCAGTGCTGCCCTTTTCACAGCAGCCTGCAGAGGTATGCATGCACCCCTCAGCCCATGGGCAGTTTTTGTAACAAATATTTATTTCAGATGCTGGCGGCTTTTCCACGTGGCCTGGATGGAAACGATAAAAAGTGAAGCGCGAAGCTGGGGTGGTGCTGGGCACAAACAGGCAAATCTTTACCCTGCTGTCTTTAGCAGGGAAGAGCACCAGGACTGGACACTTTTAACATGAGACCACCATGTGGGCGAGCTGCCCTGGGCCTGGGAGCACGAGGTGGCTTCAGGGCAGCAGAGCCCCACCACACTCAGTGCTTTCATCCAGGTGTCCTGCTCAGTCTGCCCACAGCTGCCAGGGAGGGTGGAGGTGCTGCCATAGATGGGTACTACAGAGCCCAAAGCCTGCCGAGCGGCTCCAGGGAAGGCAGCATCATCTGTACCGTGTGTCCATGGCTGGCTCATGGGTGAGGGTGAGGGGGCAGTCCCTGCTCCCCCTTAGCTCTGGGGTTAAAGGCACTTGGAGGTGGTGGGGAAGGGAGCATGGCAGCGTCAGACATGGGGGAGGCACCTCCCTCTACTTGTCCTGCATCTTCTCTAGGATGGGCACGATCATGTCGAACTTTGGGCGCTTGGCTGGGTCTTCATTCATGCAAATCTTCATCAGCTTGCAGATGTGTGGGGAGATGCCAGGTGGGATGGTTGGACGGAGCCCTTCCAGTGCCACCTGGTAGCGAGGCAGGGCAGAGCAGGATCAGCCAGCTGGACCCAGCCCTGCCTGTGGTGGGCACACGGGGAGCTCTGGAAGGAGCCCCGTTGGGCTCTCTGTGGGGCCCCACTTGTGCTCCCCCCACTGGCCCAGCTGTGCTCAGACTGGTTTGGACCCCTCCCCCCCTCACCTTCATGCCTATCTCCATGTTGGACAAGTCTGCAAACGGCACCTCACGGGTCACCAGCTCCCATAGCAGCACTGCAAAGCTCCACATGTCCGCCGAGCGCCTGTTAATTTCCTCTGGCTTCTTCTGCAGGGCTGCAGCAAATCCAGTGCAACACAGGGGCTGAGAAGGGCAGGGGAAAGGAAGGGGGCAAAGCAGCAGGAGGGGCCTGACCCTCTCACACTTACCTTCTGGTGCCACCCAGGCTGGCGCATACATCCTCCCAGGGCATTGGAAGGAGAACTTCACGTCGGCCATGCTGACCCTTGCTGTCATGTCCTCGTCAATCTGGGAAGAGAGATGCAGTCACAGCCACCCGCACAGCCCAGCCTGCAGGGCACAGGCAGCGGTGCTCACCATGATGCTGCGGCTGTTCAGGTGGTGCCGTGGGATGAGGGGCTCCAGTGTGTGCAGGAAGGCCATGCCTCGCGCAATGTCAAAAGCAAATTTCACTGCCTGCATCTGGTCCACCACGAAGTCTGCAGGAAGGGAGGTGGCACTGGGGGTAACTGGGTGCCACACATGGGAAGGAAGCAGTGATGGCAGCACTAGGACCAGGGGCGTGTAGGCTGCAGACCAGGCTGCTTGTGGCCGCCCTGGAGTTGCAGCCGGAGGATTTTGTGCTGCTGCCCCCAATGTACAGAGGAGCAGCCCCCCAAGGACAGAGAGACCAGCACCTGCCTCAGCTGCGTCACCTCTGTTAGCACTCACTTGTCCCCTCATGTAACACATTGTAGAGGGAGCCATAGGGCATCCAGTGGCTGATGACAATGGGATGGGGGGCTGGGGGGGACTGGCAGGCACCCAGCACTGGCAGCACATTGGGGTGAGAGAAGATCCTGCAAGAGAAGTGATGGTGCTGAGTTGCTGCCCACAGCCCTGCATCATCTCTGCCCTCTTCTCTGGTGGCTGCCTTGCCCCTGTCAGCTTCGGCTCACCATGTGGGCTCCTATCTCAACCCCCTCTGCAGGGATGACACCCACCCTCAGGGTCCTTGGCTCCTTTGGGGAGGATGCTGGCACTTACCGCAGTTTTGGGTACTCCTCATTGAAGTCTCGGCTCTTCCGAGTTGTCCAGTCCCGAATTTTCAGCATTTTGATGACAATGTCATTGCCTTGCCAGCGCCCTTTCCACAGCTGAAGGGAGACAGGTGGATGTGATCACTGTGGGGGGGGGCTCACAGTCCCCGAGCACCCCTCAGCGTCTTGTGCGGGGCGTGGATCCCACAGTGATGTGCAGTGACTGTGATGAGTGGGAGTTCACCCAGGCAGCTGCCAGCCTGCAGCTGGCCCCACACTGGGGCTTGGATGCTCCTCAAGCAGCTGTACCCCTGTGCTCTGTGTACAGCCAGGGGCTGAGGGAGCACCGTGTTCTGCTGTCCCAGCAAGGAAACAGCCTCCATACCTCTCCTGATTGGTTCTCATTGAGTTTTTGGCTCAAGCTCAGCTGTTTGAAGTCTATTCCAGCAAGTTTGTTGAGGGTCCCATTTCCTGTAAGAAGAGAGGACTACATGGGACCCCCCTCCTGTCTTGGGGGCTGCAGGAGGAGCAGTACCAGCACAGTACATGCAAAGGCACTGCAGTAAGGCAATCTCCCTTGCCCCAACGAGCCACCCAATGTGCTGTGCCAACTGCTGCCCCTCACCCCTGAATTCCACCCCACCACAGAGATTTGTGCCCCCAGCAAGCAGTGTGCTCTGCAGGGAAGCCTCTGTCCTTACGGGGCCGTGTGCGGGTCGTGCCCTTCCAGAAGGTGTCCTTGTAGGGGATCTTGGTCAGGTTCTGGCCCAGCTTCTCTGCACGCTCTGGAGGCAAATGAAGAGTTGGGCAGCAGAGCAGAGTCTGTGGTGCTGAGCTCTGCAGCAGCCAGAGGCAGGGTCTGGGTGCAGATGACCTCTCCTACCTTTCAGTATCTCCCGCAGAGGCATTTTGGCTTTGTCAATAGGCGTCTCGCTGTACTTGTTGGCAATGCTGACCAAGGCCCCGTTACCCACAAGGTCCTGAGGAAGGAGAAAGCGAGCACCCACAGCTGCTGCCCTTTTCCCACCCCCTTCCTACATACCCAGCCTCCTGCCTGCCCTGCTGTACCCTCCCCAATGCCATCTCCTGTGCTCCAAACTCCTGCCTGTATCCAGGTGCTGCGCTCACCTCTGCCACCGTGTCGTGTCCCCAGAAGCAGGCGTAGTGTAGAGGGGTGTTCCCGTGCTCATTCACCGCATTGATGTCCGCTTTGAACTGGATCAGCTGCATGCAGGACAGTCCTGGTGAACCCCGAGTGGGTCCCTTCCACTGCCCCGAGGCAGGGGGGCACGCACTCACAGCAGGGGCTGCTGTTGGAGGGGGCCGAGGGCTGCGAGGGGGTGGCGGGGGCACCCAGAGGTGGGTGCAGTGAGGGCATGGAAGGAGGCAGGGAGCAGCAGGGCAGGGGTTGCTGGGCACGCTGAGGGCTGACCGTGGCAGTGCAGTGGCTGGGGAGTGGTACCTTCTGCACGATGTCGCGGTGGCCGTGGCTGGCTGCCAGGTGCAGCGGGGTGTCATCACCACGGTTCATGACGTTGATGCGCGCTCCTCGCATGATCAGCATGTCCACCACATTGGAGCGGCCCTCGCGGCAGGCCCAGTGCAGGGGGCTGAAGCCATGGTCATCCCTGAAGGGACAGCAGTGAGGGCTGTGCTGGGCAGCATCCAGGGCCATATCTCAGGGGGAGCAGTGGGGAACAGCACTGGAGGAGACTCCATAACGTCCTGCAGCTCTGTGGTCTCTCAGCCCTCTGCTGAGCGAGGCACAGCTTTGTGCCTGAGGGATGCTGCAGTCCCAGATTGGGCAGGGAGGTGTGTTCTGCTCCCTGCTCCTCAGCCCCCACTGGCAGCAACTGCATGGCCCCAAGGCCACGCCGCACTGGGCGGGCTGCACACACCCATGCCATGCTGTGAGGAACACAGCCCAAGGGATGCTCCTGCTCTGCCCATCCCCAGGAGAGCCCTGACCACGTCCCATCTTCCTCAGGGCTGGAGCAGCAGGAGTCTGCTGAGGACCAGGCCCCCTATTCGCCCCCCCATCTGCTGGCAGCCATGCCTGGCCAAGTAAGGGAGGAGGCGGCAGCCGGGCCTTAAAAGGAGATTAGGGCCCAGTAGGCGGGGATGAGGATGCTGCAGCCCCACTGCCCCCAGCTCCAGCAGAACTGGGGCCATCCAATGACCACCCTGCACTGCCGGCAGCGTTCCCGTGGCACACAGCACAGGGCTGGAGCCAAACACCCCCTAACAACCAATACCAGCCCCACGGGTACAGCCCAGCCCAGTACAGCTCTGTGGAGCGAGCATCTGCTGGGAGGGGCAGGGAGTATGTGGTGCAAGGCCCACAAACAGCCTTCTCTGCACTCAGCAGAGATGCTGCAGTGGCTCAGGAGGCCCTTCAGCACGTGGGGCAGCTGGCTGTGCCCGCCCTCAGCCTCATGTTGGGGCAGTGGGCAGCAGGAGGCATCAGCTCTGTCCGGAGGTGATGGGAAGCACTCCGGGCCATGGGTGCTGTCGGAGCTGCTGGGGAGGGACGGGAGGGGAGGTCGCGGGCTCGGCAGTGCAGGCCGGGCAGTGGTGCCCCTGGGGTCAGGGGTCACGTCAGGTCACCGCGTGTCGCAGCCACTTTGGGGAGGGGCTTCTCCCAGCGCCCCCAGCCCAGCCCACGGCCAGGACAGCGACCCGCGGCTGAGGAGCGGACAAGAGGACGTGCAGCCCTCATGCCTCAGCGATGCGGTAACTTCCTCCGGCGGGGAGGAGCCGCATCCCACCCCCTCCCCCGGACACGGAGCGGAAACGCGCCCCGGACGGACCGAAGCATCCCCCGCAGCCCCCCCGCTCACCCCTGATTGAGGTCATTCTCGGTGTTGTCCAACCACAGACGCACGGCCACCGCGTTGCCCTCCCGGCACTGCGTGAAGATATCATCCATCGCGGCTGTCGCTGCGGGGAGCGCTGCGTAAGGGCACGGCTTTGAGTGGTCCGAGGGCCCCGTACTCCTCCCGGGCGGCGGACGGCGGGGGGGCCGCACCGCCTGCAGCGTCACGGGCGACCGCGGCCGCCCGCAGGAAGCGGCCCGGAGCCCGCGGCGTTATCTGCAGGCCCGCACTCGGGGCCGCGTCCCGGGGGGAGCGGCTGGGAACAGCGCCGGAGGAGACGCCGCACCGCCCCGCAGCTCCGCGTCCCGTCGGCCCTCCGCTCCCGGCCCGGCCGAGCGCAGCACGGTGCCGATACCGGTGCCGCTCCTCGGACCCCGACGACAGCGGCCGCGCCGCCCCAAGGCTGCACCGCAGCGGGCGGGGATGCGGGGCTGCGCTCAGCGGGATCCCAACGCGAGCGCATCCCGCGCCCGCCGCCGACCCCGCCCGGCCCCGCGCCTCCCGCACCGCCCCCGGCCCCGCGCCGTCCCCACTCCCCGCTGCCCTCCGCGCAGACCCCGCACCCCTCCTCCGCCATTGGAGGCCCGCTCGTCCCCGCGCCCATCGCCACCGTCCGGCGCTCCCGGCGCGGCTCGATCCGGCCTCGAGCTCCGCCCGCCCGCACGGCCCGGCCCGGCCGCCCTTACCGGCTCCGGCGGCGCAGGGCGGTGGCTCTGCGGGGCAATGCGTGGCTCCGCCCCGGCCGCCTCCAGCGCCCCCTGCCGGCCGCGCCGCTCCCCGCAGAGCTGAGGCACCGCCGGGGGACACCGGGCGGGAGCGGCGGGCGGGGCGGGGCGGGGCGGAGCGGGGCGGGGCGGGCACAGCGCGTACCTGGGCGGGGTACGGGAGGGGAGGGAGGGGGGAACCGGGCGGGGCGCGAGGGGTTTCGGGCGGCGCTACCCGAGCGCTGCAGATCACCCTCCGCACTGCAGGGGGCGCGCTAACCTCGTGTGGCCGGGGCTGCTCCTGCCGCCGGTGCACGTGGGGCCGCGGGGTCGGTCCGCTCCGCTCCGAGCGCCGCTCCCGGGCGCCGCGATGTTCGAGGAGGAGGAGTGGAACGAGGGCGCGGACGGCCTCGCGCTGCCACGGGCCGTGCCGGAGTTTCGCGGTGATGCCAAAGGCTCTCAGCCGCCGGTAAGGGGAGAAGGGCTCGGGGGGCCGAAGCGGGCCGGCCCCCGCCGTGGGAGTGACGCCGCTCCGCTCCCTGCAGGTCTCCGCCGCGGTGGAGCGGAAGCGGCGGCAGCGCCTCGTGGCCACCCTGCGGCGGCTGCAGGCGGCGGGCGCGGCTCCGGTGGGGGACGGCGAAGCGGCTCGAAAGCGGCCCAGGAAATGCGCGGGGACCGCGAGGGACCGAACCGCGGCGGAGGCGGCCGTGGAGGGGCGGCGACCTCAAGATGGGGGCGGCGCCGCTGGGACTGGGGCTGAGCTGCCCCCGGGTGTCCCGAAGCCGCCCCGGCGGAACGCGGAGCCCGCGGTGGGGGATTCGGCGGCCGCGGCGCCTCGGCTCACTCGAAAGCAGTGGCGGAACAAACAGAAGAACAAACGGCGGCAGGAGAAGTTGAAAGCGGAGAAGAACGCCGGCAGAGGTGGCGGTACCGGACAGGCGGCACCGGAACCCGCTGACCCAGCCGCGGTACCCACCGGGCGGTCGGCGGCGCTGCGGGCGCGCATGGAGGAGCGGCTGCTGGCGGCGCGGTTCCGATACATCAACGAGCGGCTCTACACCGGCAGCAGCCGCGACGCCGTTCAGCTCTTCCAGAGCGACCCCGAGGCGTTCCAGATCTACCACCGCGGCTTTGCACAGCAGGTGGGGCGCTGGCCACAGAACCCCGTGGATCACATCATCCAGCGGCTGCGGCAGCGGTGAGCAGAATGACAGAGCCATGGGATGTTGGGTTGGAAGGGACCTCAAGGATCACGAAGCTCCAATCCCCCTAACACAGGCAGGGCCACCAACCTCCACATTTCATAGCAGCCCAGGCTGCCCAGGGCCCCATCCAACCTGGCCTTGAACACCTCCAGGGATGGACGGGGCATCCACAGCCTCTCTGGGCAGCTGTTCCAGCACCTCACCACTCTCTCTGCAAAGAACTTCCTCCTGACATCCAACTTCAATCTGCCCTCCCTCAACTTCACACCATTTCCCCTTGTCCTGCTGTTATCTCCTCTTTCCAAGAGCTGACTCCCCTCCTGTTTGTAGGCTCCCCTTAGGTCCTGGAAGGCTGCAATAACGTCATTCCGCAGCCTTCTTTTCTCCAGGCTGAACAAGCTCAGCTCCCTCAACCTTTCCTCATAGGAGACCTGCTCTAGCCCTGTGATCATTTTAGTGGCCCTCCCCTGGACCCTCTCCAACAGCTCCCCCTGTCTTTCTTGTATTGGGGGCCCCAGACCTGGATGTAGCACTGCAGATGAGGAGAGCATAGAGGAGTGGAGCTGGGGGGCACGAAGGGGGGTACAGTGTTACCAGCTCTGTGTCCCTGCAGGTCAGCCTCGCTGGTTGTGGCAGATTTTGGGTGCGGGGACTGCAAGATTGCCAGCAGTGTCCGGAATAAGGTGCACTGCTTCGACCTGGTGCCTCTCAGCCCACTTGTCACCGTCTGCGACATGGCTGAGGTAAGGGGCTGTGCTGTGACTGGTGCACCAAGGAGCCAGGTGTGCTCCTTGGAGGGCAGGTTGGCTGTGTGTGGTCAGAGAGGAGCTGCAGAGCTGTAAGTGTGGGCTGCACTTTGGTTGTACTCATAGTGACAGTGAATCCATGTAGTGCAACGGGACAAGGGACGATGGACAAAAGCTGTAACCAAGGAGTTCCATCTGAACATGAGATAGAACTTACTAACTGTGAGGGTGCCAGAGCTCTGGCACAAGCTGCACAGAAGGAATATCTCCTTCTCTGGAGATATTCAAATTCACTGGCATGCTTTCCTGTTCAGCCTGCTCTAGAGAACTTGCATTATCAGGGGTTAAAGTGGGGAGATCTCCGGGGGTCCCTTTCAACCCCTGCTTTCCTGGGTGGCTGTATGCTTGAAGCTGCCTGTCAGGTAGCTGGGTATGGGAGGGGCATCATGTGGAGAGCAGGAGAGGATGATTGAGAGCACCTGCTGGAAGTTGATGAGAATTCCATGCTTGTATATTCTGAACGTGGGGTACTGCTGTTTGTACTGCTGTTTGTGGCCCCCTCTCTGAGAACGTGCTCAGCTGAATCTGAGAGTGAAGGGAATGCCAAGGATGGGGACAGGCCCCATTCATTCTGTTGGTGCTCTGCAGGTGCCGCTGGCAGATGAGTCAGTGGACATTGCAGTTTTCTGCTTGGCGCTGATGGGCACCAACCTGCAGGAGATCCTAGAGGAAGCCAACCGCGTGCTGAAGCAGGGGTAGGCAGGGCTGTGCACCGGGCAGCAAGGGAGCCCTGGGAGTGCCTGCACTGCCACCCCTCAATGCTGTGCTGTCCCTGCAGTGGTACCCTGATGGTGGCCGAGGTTGCCAGCCGTTTTGAGGACCTCCGAGCCTTCATGAATGGAATGGCTCAGCTGGGCTTCAGGAGCGTCAACAAGGTGAGTCTTTGAGGGTCCCTGGAGCACGCAGTCTGGAGTGCGATGCCCTGGGAAGCGACCGTGGGGAAGGCAGACTGGGAAGGAGGATGGGAGGGGGTAGGGAGGCAGCCACGGGCCGTGAGGATGGGGCTGGGATGCGGGCGTGGGGAAGCCGCGGTCGGCGTTTTAGGGTTGGGGGCACGCAGATGCCCTGGGGAGAGCTGGGGGATGCGGGGCTGGGATGGGACGGGGAGGAGCCAGGGTTAGGGGTGGGAGAACGCAGGGGACGCGGGGCGGGGACGGGCCGTGGAGCTGAGGGCGGCGGGGTGCGGCGCCGGGCCGGGCTGACTCGCGCTGACTCCGCAGGACCTGTCCAGCACCTTCTTCTACCTCCTGGAGTTCACCAAGGCGGGGCCGCCGCGACGTCGGCCCTGCGCGGGGCTGCGGCTGCTGCCCTGCCTGTACAAACGGCGCTGAGCGGCGGGACTTCCGGTGCAGCCTCGGCGAGGGGCGGGGCTGAGGGCGGAACGTCCGGAACAGCGTCGGCACGGGGCGGGGCTTCCGGCAGTCGGCGAGGAAGGGGACTTCCGGCACAGCCTCGGCGAGGGGCGGGGCTTCCGACCCGTTTGTGCGAGCGGAGCCGGCGGGGGATCCTCCGGCACGGCCTCCGCCGAGCAGCGCCGAGGGGCGGGCGGGGCTCCCGGACGCGGACGGAGGCGGGGCGCGGCGCTGGGCGCTGTCGGTGCGCACGCGCGGTTGTCAATAAACGGCCGTTCCCGTGCAGTCGCACCGCCTCGCTGGCGCGCATGGGCGGGGCGGGCGGGGCCGCGCCTGCGCGGTGCGGGCGGGCCTGTTCGGCGGCGGGCAGCGCCGCGATGTCGGGGCCGGGCCCGGGGCCGGGCCCCGGCGGGGGGAAGCTCGACATCAACCGCGCCGGGGTGGCCGAGCTGGAAGGAGCGCTCAGCGGCATCGGGCGGCGCCGCGCCCGCGGCATCGTGCGGAAGAGAGAGGTGCGGCGGCCGCGGGAGAGGAGGGGCGCGGCGGGGCCGGTCCGGTCCGCCGCCTTCGGCCTCGGGGCGGGGGGGGGGAACAGCGGGGGCCGGGCTGCCGCCGTGGCGTCGCTCGTGGGGCCTCGCGCTGCGCTCCCCGCCCTCCGGCTCCGCTCTTCCCGTCGGCGCGGCGCGGCCCCGGCCCGCTCGGCTCCGTGTCGGGGCTGAGCCTGAGCGGCGGCCCGGGGGCGCGGAAGGTGCCGTCGCGGTGCGCTGGGAGCCGGTGCTGCCTGGGCCGGGCCGGGCCGTCACCCGGCGACGACGGAGCGGGGCGGGAGCGGTACCCGCGTGCGGCCGTCGGCCCCGACGTGGCTGAGCCGCCTCCGTGACAGCCCTGAGAACGGGACGCGTGCGTGTGGGACGCGGCGGCGCGGTGGTCGTAGCTGGAAGGTGAACGGCGTTTGTAGCTGAAAGCGCCCGCGGCTCACGGCCGGAACGCGGCAGCCCTGCTGGGACCCTCCGAGCAGCGAGGTGGGAGGAACCGGGAGGCGGAAGGCTGGGCTGATTGGAGGAGGCTGGAGGAGCCTGGCTTTTTTTGGCCTGGAACTGAGGAGCTGAGAATGCAGGGTCAGCGGCTATAAATACAGCGGGAGTGTAAACAGTGTGGGGGTGGAAGAGAAGCAGCCCTCGAAACAAAAGAGCTGTGGGTATGGGAATATGGGAAGGCAGATTCATAGGAATGAGGGCTGTCGTTTGAACAGCACTTTGGGATAACGCTGTTTGTTGGGGGTGAGGAGGAAAGGTGATGTGAGAACAGGTGGCAAGGCTGAGAGGAGCGTGGTGGGAGCTTTGCTTTGCCCTGATGGCTGTGTTAGTCGCTGCAAATCCTGCTCCCATCCCTGGTGCTTTGAGAGTCTTTTGCTTTGTGGCAGAAGTGGTGTGGAGGCTGTGAAGTGTGCGATGGTGGGCAGCAGAAAGCTGGGCAGGACTTGGGTGGGGGTTGTGCAGGGTGCTGGGCACCGTGAACATACAGCAGGAGGTTGGGGATGTTTCCAGCTGTTGGAGATTGGCCGTGTGGGCCAGCAAATGCACTTTGGTGTTGGCATCAGAGCTAAATGACATCGTTCCCCATCCTGAGCTGCTGTTGTTTGCTTTTGGGCCACCTGCTAGAAAAGGCTGTAGTGCACCAGCTGAAGGTAAACAAGTGAGCTTGCAGTAACAAGTTTGTGAAAAATAAGTTTGTGTTGAAACCTTATATTGGGAAAGGTGTGCTGGTTGTTGGTGAAGCAGGACTGCTTCACTGTCCCACCAGACAATGAAATGCAGTACTTCCCTTGTAACTTCCTCTGGTTGTCATGGCCTTGCTCTGCAAGTGTTTGAGACGTACCCAGCACACCCCAGAAGGTCAGAAGGTGCTTTTTGTTGGTCCTTTCCAGGCACTGAAGGATGTGGTGTGGTGGGTATGGAGGCGATGGGGTGGTGGTTGGGTAGGTGATCTTAGTGGTCTTTTCCAACTTTAATAATTCTATGATTCTGTTACTTTTCCTGTGAGCCTGTGCCATATTGTCACTACTGCTCAGGACAGGGAAAGTTTGTGGAAACAGTAGGACTGGGAGAAGCATCATCTGGTAGATGTCCCTCTAATGGGTGTGGTAGTAATGATGCAAAATACAAAGGTACCACTCCATTGTAGCAGCCCAGCTCCTTCCCCATGCACCCCAAAGTAGCAAAGGGAGCTGTGGGAGCTGTGGCTGTGAACGAAATGAAAGCAGGTGGGTCTGGGATCACCTGCCAGGAGGCAGCAGGACAAAGGCATTGGCAAGCCTGGTCCTGCCTGGAGCTGATCCCTGGGTGTCTGAGCTCTGTGTTCAGTCTCACTTCTCCTCTTGCAGGAATTGAAGGGCTTCAACTCGCTCGATGACCTCCTCCATGTCAAAGGCATCACCACCCGCATCCTGGAGCTGAACAGTCAGCGGATGACCTGCAGAAGGCGGCCAAGCAGTGAAGAAGCTGTCAGGGTGAGCCCTGCTCTGCTGGGGGACAGCAAAGCTCCTGTGCCTCAGGTAGGAAAAGAAAGAAAGTGACCTCCTTAGGCAATGGGGAGGGGATCCTGCCTGCAGCAGTGTGGGAGCTGAGAAGAGGTTGGTGCAGGCACAGGGAGATTCACTGGTCAGGAGACACACCTGCTTCGGCCACTGTGATGAGGAGGCTTCACCCTCTGAGCTGCTGAGTGGTCCGTCTGTAATGCCCTTTGAGGCAGCAGGGGGCCTTGGGAAGCATCCCAGCAGTGGCCTCCACTTTAGAGTTCTGGTGGAGTGAGCAGTGGTCCCTCAGTGCATCTTGATGGAGCTGCTCTGCTGGATGCATCTGTCCCACAGTCCTCATAGAAGCAATGCTCTGACTCCGGAAACACGCAGAGCTTACAGCTGCCTCCCCTGCCCCAAAGCAGTTCTCCATTGGCAGCCTTCTGCAGACAGTTGTTGAGTTCCACTAATTGTTCATCATAAGAGGCCAGAACTGGGCGTGGACAGCAGCTCTTCCTCTAGGCTGGCAGCTGGAGGGGCCGGAGTCCATCCCTATCCAAGGTCTTTGCCCTCTTGCTCTTGTCTGCATGAGCAGCAACCAGCATGCTGCCTGCCTGGTGCTGGGGGCTTCAGGAAGGATATCTTCCTGCTGCCAGTCCCTGTGGGGTGAGGAAGTTCCCAAGGAAGGCTCTGCCCAGTTAAGCCCTCAGGCCTGGAGGTGGAGGGGCTGCTGGAAGGTGTTTGTCTGCCTGGAAGATGTTGCTGATGGCTCGGGGTTCCCTGGTGCTGCCCCAGCAGTGTCGTCTCAGCACCCCACCCTGAGCCCCAGCTCTGAATACTGGAGGAAGTGCTTGAGAAACTGGGACTCAGCACTGCCTCCCAGAGAAGTGGATCCAGGCAGGGTTGGGGCGGCTCCAGCCTGCTCTGGGCACTTGTCTGGCACTGCCCTGTGCCCTGCTGAGTGGTGGGCAGCCTGCCCCTGGAGTAGGGAGCCAGGGCCTTGTTTCCTAAAGTGAAAAAGCCCAGTCCTCGCTGCACTAAATGCTGCAGTGCCTGGTAGGAGCCTCTCAAAGCGCCAAGGATTTTCCTTCCACAAATAAGTTTTTGTGCTGTAACCAAACCATCTCCTTATTTTTTTTCTCTTCCAAGATATTTTCTTCACCTTTGAGTCATTTCTGGGAAAGAGTTGACCAATACCTTCATGTTTAAAGCGTTTTGTTTTAAAACTATTGAACGTTGCATAACTTGGGTGTGTAGAGCAGTTTAGGGGCAAAGTTGCTTCCCTGCTTGCACCTCTTGTCTGCTTGGACTTTTGAGCTTGAAGTTTGTGTCAAGTGCCCCCCCAGTCCTCGTCAGATGCTGCTTTCTGGGATGTGCAGCCTCTGGTGCCTTGTTGGTCTGGCTCTGCCTGTCTTTAGATGGAGAACATTGCCTCTGGGTGTGCTGAGATGTATTTGAGTGAGCCCAGCATACCAAGTGACTCAGATCCCTGGATGAGCTTCCTTGCTTCCTATGAGATGTCGATCTCAAAATATCATCAGAAAAACGTCATTTACTTCCCTATTATGAGCAAAACAGATAGTTTGTTGTGGTTTCTCCCCCCTCTTCTGGGCCTGCACAAGGTCCATCAGCAGGCAGTGAGGTTTCCCAGTGACAGGTACCTTCTGAGACTTGGTCAGGCTGCCCTGATGCAACCTGTCTCACTGCATGACCCTTCCCAGGCTGTGGTGTGCCAGTGCTGGGTCAGAAGGCTGTGCCCTGGTCTTCTTTGGCTGTGACTTATCAATGCCAATTATGTAATCACTTTTGTTAACCAAATGTAACTGTCCAAGGAGTAAAATCAACTTTATTTGAAATGGTGAATTTTCAAAGCCCACTCAGCTGGTGCAAAGCATGTCCCTCTTATCTTTTACCAATGGAATCAGTCCCTCTGGTACCAGATGTCCAGTTCTGTACAGCCTCAGCCTTCTGCTTTCCTCAGTTCTGGCATAATTTTCACGCTCTCCTGACCTTTGCAGTTCCTCCTATATGCCAGACTTTATTTGAAATGGTGGTTGTGGGCCAATGATCTGCTTGTATTATCTATTGTCTGAGACTGGTGTAAACAACCCTGGTTTGCTGGGTGAGGTCTGTTCTTAGTGCATTGGAAAGCAGTTCCTCCTCCTCCTGTGACACAAGGATGTTGTTCTGCTGCTTCTAAATGGTTACTGAATGCTTTTGCTTTTTTGTATGTGTGATGTTTTTCTTAGTGCTGCTTTTCTGGGGGAGAAGAGGTGCAGGTGGTAAGGGGAGATGCAGTGCACACCCTTCCAGTGATTCAGCCCCGGGTTGTGTGTAGTGGAGGGCCACGACCTTGGTGTGGTGCTCCTCACGCTGCAGTGAAGGCTGATGACAGTGCAGCTTGTACTTCCCAACCAGGCAGGGCAGCCCTCGTGTGCAGCAGCTCTGCCTTGTGCTCTGTCATGCAGAATGCTGCTCCCA